TAAATAAATAAAATAAAAAATACATAATTAATCTGCTAAGTGGAACAGTCAATTTCCATAAATTTCTATATTAACACATGTTACCTCCTACAGTGATATCTGGGTATGAAAACAGATAATAATGTGATAATGGCAAATTAGTATTTTAACGGATTACCATTCAGAGAATTAACAGTTGAATTAATTAATTAATTAATTAATTAATTAATTATATATACGTATATAAATATTTTAGTGTCACCATTAGTGTCACCATTTCCAGACCACGGTGGTTTAAAAGCCCATAGTTTCCAATATTGTCTAGATACATATCTCATAAGCAAGCGTGCACAACCTGGGTTGTCAATGACCCGACTGCATTCCTCAGAAGGTATGGCCTGAATGACACGGATGATCTCCCTTTTGAGGTCTGCAACTGTCCTGAAATCATTCTTGTACGCTCTATCTTTGGTATATCCCCACTCACGGGTAGAAGCCAGGTTAGAGGTTTACCTACATTGCAATAGTTGTTACTCTGTACTGGAGCATGTTGTTTAAAGTGCTGTAACATTAATATTATGAGTTGATGGTCATGAAATATGGCAGGCTGGTACTAAATTGAATGATGTACAGATGTGCCAAAATCCAGGTAGTAATTCCCTAAAATGACAAAGATATGAGAGAAATAGCGGCAGGGTAACCGATTTTTTTACCAAGCTGTATGTAAGCTGTATCTATCTTTATCTCCACATACGTGCAGATTTAATTACCTAAGTGACCTGAAGATTGAAATCCAGGTTTAGATGATGTTGAATGTTGCCCGCGAGCTTAATAAAGTTTGAATAGGCTAAGAATTTTGAATGAAAACAAAAGAAAAAAGGAGTACATACACTAAGTGTCTGCACACCCTACCTCGATCGCGCATGTGCGAGATTTTTGACTTTCGTCCAGGGAGCTTTTGAGTAAATCGACTGCAACTTCGAAAGCTTAGAATGTTTCGAGTAAGGAATTAGTATTGTTATTCACTCAATTCCAATTGTAAATTAGTGAAGTACATCATGTTCAAAACTATATTTCTGTACAAAGAAACATATAAAAAATATCATTTTAGATTTTCAAATCGATGTTGATATGTCTAAATACAGGGCGCATGATTTGAAAATGTTGATCTATACAGGGTACAATGAATGTAAATTGTCCAATAGTACAGGACGCGAGAAAGTAAGCTGATATACGATTTGCTGGTTTTATACCTAAACCAATTCTCCTGAGATAGTCATGCAGTAATTGTTGATCTTGGCTCATGAGAGGATTTGTATGATCGTTTGCTAATAGGTACCAGGGTTAGTGATCAGCATAATCGGCTAACAAACTGAAAAGAAGAAGTCGAATCTGTGTTGCTGAATTGAGTTTCATACCCAAACTGATCATGAATATACGCCTCTGTAGCACCTGGGATTTATCTATATTCACCGATAAGTCTTTACAATAGCTCTGGTTTATGGTTTTATTACCCTTGTTCAATAGAAGACTTATCAGCGATGATAGAGCATTGGGTGCAAATGTGCTATCATAAACAATAAACTTATAAAACAGTAGTAAAGGAAAAATTGAATATTAGTGCCTCAACAACATCGTTAAATAGATACCCTTGTTCAATAGGAGACTTATCAGCTAGCAACGATAGAGCATTCGGAGCAAATCGCTGTTCAAGAGCCAAAGTGTTCTATTTCAAAAAACATGACTTTTGGGAAATCAAGTTTTAAAGTTTGATTTTTTTTGTATGAAACCCAGCTTTTTGATGTTTCTACAACTGATTTATATTAATATGATCTCTGATATTGCAAAAAATGGGAATTATTTGATTAGTTAAAGTATGCTTTTTTAAAAACATGACAAGTGGAGATAGAACAATTTGAGTCATTTTTTTTAGAAAAGCTGACTTAGGACAAATGTGAATTGAGATAGAACAATTACACAATTTGAACAGTTTGGTTTTTATATATGGCACCATAATTTGGTTCAGACAATGTAAAATTACAATCTAAAATACAAAATAAAATATATCATTTTATATATAAAATATCATTATCTGGGACATCATCAATTACATCAGCAACTTGTCATTTTTATTGCTCATTCTCTGTTACTCCCTCGTTTGCTGCAAAGTTCCTTGGAAGCAATTGTCCATCCCAAGCTGTCTGCTCATTTTCCTTTCATTTGTGCTTGAGTTTTCATTGTTTTTCTTGTAACTTTTTCCTACTTTTACATTATCAATAATTTCGTTCACACAGTTACGTTAAATTACAATCTAAAATACAAAATAAACAGTACTCTGAGAAAAAACACGCATAGATACATGTTGAAAAATAAAAGATATCATTAATTAGAAGACTAAGATATCATTATCAATATCTGAGACTTCGTCAACTACTCAGCTATCTGTCATTTTTATGTCTTACAAGTAAAGTTTTTTTTAAATTAAGTAAATTACAAGTAATTTTTTGTTGTTGTTTTCACTTTATGTCCTAAGTTAAAGATCTCTTTTGGTACGTTACGTATTTGGTAAGTTATATCACACTTAATTAGCATTATGTCGTACAAGTAATTTTTGGCTCACACAGTGAGCCTATGGGATCGACCAAGCGTCCGTCCGTTGGTCCGTCCGTCCGTCCGTCTGTTGGTCCGTCCGTCCGTCAACATTGGCCGCACAAATTAAAACTGCTATTCGGATTGAGTCATAACCACATTCATTTTATGCATATCCATGATGCCTATTTGACCTATCATCGCCATTTCCCAAGTTCGCCCGGTTTCCGAGAAATTGCTGATTTGACGTCAAAAAGTCAAATTTTTGTAAATACTAGACACTTTGTTGAAGAAGAACTTTCAAATAACTTGTAGTATTTGCTTTATATGCTGCTTATGTCCTCTGAAGATTTCAAAGCTCTTGGAATTACAATTTTTGGTGTTTACTCTATAAAATTTGACAAAAAGTAGGACTTAGTCATTTTCAGGAAACTTTCTCATGTATAAAGTCAATGGCAGGTTTTGTGATTGACAAGTTTCTCAAAGTTTGCCTTATACTTGATCATTTCTTGCAATGAATTACATTATTACTAGATTTAAGCATTCCCTACATATTGCTCAATATATGTCAGCATCAAATTTTTACCGTTTTTGAGATATTTGACGTCAAAAAACAGTAAAAATAAGTTATTTTTCAACTTGCTTCAATTTGACCAAATTTTTTTTTGAAAATCATCTACAAGTTGCCAGGTGTTCAAATCTGACATTAGTTTTAGGATTTGACCTTTACTTGACCTTCAGTGACCTTCGAAAGGTCAAAAAAGATGATTTTTCAAATTGATTTTTGGATGTAAATTTTGGTCCGCTTAATCACAAAAGACCTTACTGAGCTCTGACTAAGTAAAATTTTCAAGGTCAAAGGTCATCAAACTAGGGTCACACAACTGTGCTATCTAAGTTTCTCAAAGTTCGAGACTACAAATCCAAATCAATATTTTGGTTTGAAAGTCAGGATATACATTCCTCTGAAGGTTCCAAACTGTGTGAGCATAGGACCGTGGGTCCTTTCATTATAAAAAAAAATTAAGTAAATTAAAAGTTAATTCTTCTTGTAGATGTCATTCTATGTTTTAAGATCAAAATCTCTGTGTGGTACGTTCAGTTCTGTTAAATCACTCATCTTTCTACACTCTATTTTTTAATTTTGTTTGTTTTCTCTGCTACTCCCCCTTTTGCTGGATGAGATAGAACAAATCAAATTTTACAGTTTTCTGAGATCTTGACATAGGATAATTTAATTCATTTGGGATAACTGTTTTTCCAGACATAGAACAATTGAATACTGAAAATCACATGTTTACAGCTATATTTCACACTTGAGACCATGCTAGATGGAAAGAGCATCGTCAAATTAGGGGGAATCCACATTTATCTCATTTTGGCCAAAAAGTGACATAGAACACTTTGGCTCTTGAACAGCGAAATGCTTAAAATTGTCTGCTAGTTGGCCAGAGACCAAAATTCCAGCAGAATTTGAGAACAGAATCGATTTTTTCGTTCTGCGTAGGGCATTAAAATCACTTTCAACCCTTCTGTGTGCATAAGAATGGTCATAAGAGGCCCGTTGAGGGTCATAAATGAAAGAAAGCACTCTGAAATTCCGTCGAATTGCAGGTTATTTCTTCATTTTTTTGCTAAAGTTACATGATTTTGAGGGCCCATATCTCACTGAAATTGCTACAATGTAGCGATTTTTCATTTTTGCAGGCTGGATACATTACCGTTTTTATTTTGACATGTTATCCTATGAATATCATGCTAACTATGGAATAATAGAAGGAATGATACGTTTCGTTTCGTTGAATTACATTGATGAATGAATGCTTACAGGGGGACGTCATTAGAATATTTCAAATGCTATGTGGACTGGAAATGCTTGCCAAAAACAGTGAAATAACTATATATATATATGTGGGTATGGGCAGTGTGCCTTTCAACAACTGACCCATACCATGGGCTTTCAAGAGAATTTAAATAAAGAAAAGGCACAGTTCTGGCACTTTTTATTCATCTTAAATTTTTATAAAAACAATTAATTAACAAACAAAAAAACAGTTGAATAGCAAACTAGAAAACGAACACAATGACACGCAGTATCTAAATAACAGTTAACTGGGGGTTTTGTTGTATATTAATGTCAAAAGAAGTAACATATTCAAAGTGCGGTGCAACTTACATGGTCACACGTTTCCAACAAAAACAAAAAAATGACCTTTTGAAGGAAAAATCACTCTTTTCACGTCATTATTGTCACTCTGTTGCTAATATATTTATTATCAAAAGATTATTATTTACATTATTTTAAGACTTTTTATTAATTGATCTTCTTGGTGTATTACATCACGGTGAGATAGCACAAAGGGCAACATTCGGAAAACACATAAAATATATCAAGTCAAAAACGCATATCAAACTATGCATTTCTTTGAGATCAATCGTCGACAAACAGTTTGCAAAAATGTGGCAGAAAAGAAAATTGAGTTTATCTATTTACATCACAATGAAAAAGAACAAGGGGCAACATTGAAAACACATACAGTAATTAACAAGTCAAAAATGCATCTTCAGATCAATTGCTCCCATACAGATTGCATTAAAGTGGCAATGAAATACTGAATTTATTATTTTACATGACAGTGAGGAAGCAAAGGGGGGGGGGGGGCATTTTAAAACACATTAAATATCGCAATTTCTAAAAGGTTACTCTTGACTTTTCACAACGGTTGTACTTTAATCTATAATAAGCACTATCATTCTAGGGTAAGTTCCTGCTGAAAACGCTTCCAATAAAAGGAAAAGAGGGTTTATCTTTTGTTCACTAAATTAAATGCTGTACAAAGCTTTTTCATATAAGTTTTCTTGAGAAAATGAACTGTTGGAAAAAATACGTTGTTCGTAAAATTAACCACAATTTACGCGTCACCTCCAGATCGTTCGTGACCAGTGAGTATAAACGAACTTTTAACATGAAAGTTTACCAATTAAACCTTATTAATTCAAATGCTTTACTATACGGGCATTTAGGAAGTATGAGCACTATTACTATTCATTTTAGTTTCATTTATAAGTTACGATCGTACCAAAAATAAACAATTAAACAATTCCGTATGGGAGCAATTTTATTCGTTCAATGCATATAATAGAATATTGTGCCTATGGCTACGTGTGAATACCAGACCAAGCACTGAAGGATGTGTTTCATCCAGTATGCTTTTTGGTTTCCTTTTCTTACTGAATGAATGCAACAATCGGGTCACTTATAGTAATAGCAAATGTACAGATCCACATTTACGCCAGATGTAGACAAATATGGTGTATTACCACCTGTATCAACCAGTGAATTTGCCGCAATCAAATAGTCCTCACAATCAAAATGAAAAAGTTCCAGTATTGATGTCATTCCCATTACAGCTTGACACGCACCTGTTGTCTTTGGGAACATGTAGAAGGGTTGATCAGTGGGGAGGTGTATAGGGGTACTGACAGAGTCATCATCACGACAGCAGAAATGGATCTTGGTGTTATGGTCGTATATCCCGTATGGCAGTTCACCACTAAACGAGTTGGAGTTGAAAATATTTTCATCGTCCCACTTGAGCCAACCGTCTTCAAAACCTACAAGTAGCTTAGCTAGATGAGATTAAAATTGTTACGCGTATCCAAAATTTTAGCAACAAGTGGATCACGGATTATAAAGCTTGGCGATTTAACAAATGGGGAAAACGTTTCAAACATAAGTAGGAATGGAGATTACGATTACAAAACATTTGCAAGATTACTTTTGTCGATAAGAAAGTTTACCAATAAACCAATAAATTTTACAAATAAAATGAATAAGCGCATTGTACCATACGGTAAAATCTGTTGGGTGCTCTACGCTTTGTTGAAATGATATGCTTCTAAGATACGATATCTATTTGAAAAGGACATACATTGTGTGACAAAAATTCGGTAACCATTTATTGAAATGCAAAGAAATGCATTTTTTCCTTAATTACTGAATTAACAAAATAACTTGTAAATTGTATTTTTGTCGAATAAAATGATAGTTTTCCTCTTTACCTGTTGGACACGCCTGTCCCGATGCTCTATATAGGCAGTAGCTACCAGTAGGCCACGTATTAGGAACACAGATCGCGGCATAGTCTGTAGTTTTCATACAGAAATGAAGACGAATGTCGTCCTTTCCGTAAGTCAAAGGAAAATGAATCCCGGTTGTCCAAGAGTTTGAAGAAAAGGTATTTTCGGTATCAAAGTACCGGTCCCCTGTTGACCAAACGAAACCTTCACTTCCGATTGTTGGACAACCGTCCAGTGGTATGGATTCATTCAGAGGGCCAACACGAGGAAGACCATAGAAGCCAGACGGCCAAAATGCTGAAAGAATCAAGGGAGTTTACAGGCACATCTTCACACGCTCGCTCTTCACTGCAACCGACAGGAGCCGAGAGAACGAATATGTGATAGACATTGGTACGAATTTGATCAAGAAAATGACTAAATTAACTTAATCAATAAGGTTCAGCATACCAGACTCCATGCAAAAGTATGCCCTGGTTCAATTACCGACCCATAAGGTCGAGCCATCTAATCTAGCACACACCATGGGCTTACATACACAAATCGGGCAGAGTTCAAAGAAAAACTATATATAGGACAATGAACCTCTAGGAGAGTCTTATATAGGCCTAGAGAGTCTAATTCACGCATTAAGGTTAAACTGTTTCTTTTATTAAAACTATTCCTGAGTACTGAGATTCGGAATGTTCGAACATGAAATGGTTCTTACGTAAGCAGCATGTCAAACCATCAGCATGGAGATACTTCTCCGGTGGACAACTACAGACGTACGAGCCAAAACTGTTGGTACAAGTATCACTGCACCCTCCGTTGCTTGTAAGGCATTCATCAATGTCTGTTTACGCAGTGAAATCATAAAAGTACAAACTGGTACATTTTTATACTAAGCTTATCATTCATTATGTCGTAAGCTTATAAGGACACTGCCCTCTTCAAATCTTTGAAGTAACCCTAAACACATTGGTTGAATATAAAATTACTCGAGTGTACAAAATGAAGAAAAATAAACACTGTTCCACAACTAGTAACTTTGATGGCTCAACTTCCGAAGTTCGATTTCGGTAAGATTTTTTGTTTTGTCGATTTAAACCTACTTATAAGTCAATTCGCAGTTTATAATTTGGCTCAACGTTAGGCGATATATCTAGGCTTTGAAAAATGCCTTCGGGTTTGAATTTATCCTTTAAACGAAGCAGTCATTCATTTAGCCACTCGCCTTTGTTACATTGACGTAAGACCATGATATTACCAATGTTACTTTGACGTAGACACTTGGTTACTTTGACGGAAAATAAATTAAGGTAGATTGATCTGTGCAATGCTGATACCGACCGGTTAATAAACAATAGTATCAAAAGTTGTAAACATTTTCCAGTCATTTAAGACTTCCAAAACGAAATTGCACAACTAGTAGTTAAACCATTTTAACAATGTCTGGCCAACTATTAATATGTCGTTTCTAGCTCCACACCTTGGCAAGACATATATATGAGAATAACAAAATCATCTTTGAGTCTATGATACTGAACAACATATTTTAGTTGTATTTGTGATACTTTGATTACATATATATAATAATAAAAAGTTTTTTGGATGCCTCTTTTTTGCAGATGATACAGCATCATCTGGTTTGTCGGACGATAAAGAGATATTTTTCATTATTGCAATATATAAGAGACAGAGCTGGATTTTTCCTAATAGTCATACTCCGTCGTGATAACGAATTATTTGTTGGCAATGCCATTAAGAATTAACTGTTTAATTTTAAACGATGTGAGTGTTGAAAAACCAAAACCAAAAATGATTGTACAAAATCGCTTTGATGCCCGGGATGGGCATCAAAGTTTCTCTACTCAGTTGAATGTTCATAATAAGTAAGCATCACTTTAGTGGGCCCAGAAATTTTTTAGGGCCCCAAAATTTTCAATTTCACAATAGGGCATCTGTACCACTGAACCATTTTGATATTTCGTTAGTCTAAGTGCCATTTTGATACGAATACATTCAAAAACATCACAAAATGCATTTCATTCATGAACCACGGAGTCGTGCGTTTCATGCACCACTAACACATGACGTTAACATGAATAAATGTTTCTAATGTAATTCATTAATAAATTATATTGGCTCATTATATCAGCTCATTGGTGTTTTTGTATAATTGATAATAAACAGTGTTGTTGTTTTTCAATCAAAAGCTAGGAATTCAAACCGTGAGTTTCTCGCTTCTTGGTGATGCTAAATGTATTCTAAGAAATCATTTTAAATTTCAAGACATAGGGTCACTGGTTGCCAAGACTTCCTAGAATACGCAATGGCGTATGTGAATACAATTGCCATGAACATTCGTCAATGTAACACATGTAAAACTGATACGTGAAAGTAACATAAGCTAAAAATAATGAAATCGTCGAAGTAACATTGGTCTTACGTCAATGTAACAAAAGCCAGTGATTAAATGTATGCATTCGTTTAAACGGTAAACGTTAAACTTAAAGCCAAAATACATCGTCTAACGTTGTGACAAACTTATGAATTGGTTTAAATCGAGAAAACAAAAATTGTGAACACCGGAAGTTGAGCCATCTTGTTACTTTAACGTTCCGTCAAAGTAACTAGTTGTGGAACAGTTAATAGAGGCACATACATTTATTTACATACGTGTAGTTACAATGTTACATAAAATTAAGTCTTTTGAAAGACCATGATACATTTAATATTCATTTAAAACTAGCATATCATAATTGCACTATACCAGCTTCGCAAAGAGTTCCCGTAAATCCGGTACAATTACAGGAAAAGCCATTGACCAAATCCACACACGCTTGCCCATTCATACACGGTATGCTTGAACACTCGTTGATGTCTGTTTCGCAGTCACTTCCTGTGTAACCGGGCTGACAGTCACATTCATACTGGTTGTTCAAGTCATTACATGTCCCCCCGTTAAGACAAGGAGAAGAAGCACACTCATCAATATCTAAAATGGTAGCATTAACATTATAAAGCACAATCATCCAAGGAGAAAATTCCAAAATGTATCAAAATACAAACAGAAGCAATGACAGCAAAAGCACAACCCCCGGGGCACAACCAAAGCATGAATACATGTGGAGGTGACACGAAATTTATCCATCGTTCATAGATTGAATTAAGTCCTAAGGGATTGAATTTTTTAAACCGTTGTCTACAGTATACAGTATTTGTTAACGTTTGAATGTAAAATGCTTTTCAAACGCGTCTTCGGTATTTCAGTTCACTGTGAGTGTGATAAATCCCATATTGGACCAGACCTTGGTTTGAAAATCTTCATTACTGAGTAATAATGCTAAATAAGTGCAAATTAATAAAGAAACAATAACTATTAATTTATGTATAAAGCTAGCTACTGTATTTAATCCAAATTGTCGTCTCTGTTATCACCCTCTTATAATAGCACTGACCCAAAAAATCAAAATAACGCCTTATTCAAACTTTTTCGATCCTGTGAAGAACCCCTATTCTTACTATCGAAAATGGTATTCTGTTGCTAAGTCAATAGTCAATGGATTTGTGTACATCCCCACGTAAGTCAATGCACATTTGCTGAAATACTCGTTTTCTCAGAAGAACTCAAGTTCATCGAGTCTCAACAAATTGACAAAACAGATTCATGTTGGATAGTATTGCGAGAATCCATTTTCAATAGTAGTAAATTAAAAGTGGTCCTTAACAGGACATAGGGCTTGCTTTTTAGAACTTTTTGTTGGCTCTATTATAAGTGACTTACTCTGTTCGCAGGTCGCCCCAGTGAAGCCAGGTACACACGAACAGGTGAAGTCTGTTGCAGAAACACCTGTTATACAGTCTCCACCGTTGTGACACGGGGCGCTTGTACAGGGGCCTACAAAGAGAGACGTATTACTAAAAACCCATGAATTCAAAGTTTTGTTCTGCTGAGGTCATTTATTTAACAAATACACCACATGCATATGTCCAATGTTTTCTTCGGGAATTCTTTTTACCTTTTGAAATTTTGACTCACAAAGTATAGACCCATTTAACGTGTCAGGTTTCATATAAGCCTAATTATATGATTTTGTTCCGAATGGCGCCTGAGTTTTGTATAACTTCGTCGTATCATTCATGTCATTATGCCGTTTTTTTGGCATAATTCTGCTCTCACATACGAAAATAGCGATGTAGGTTAAACAGTTCCCACACATGGGCATCCTTCAGTGGGTTACTATCTCGTTTTCAAATAAAATGGATATAGAATTACTTCCCACATACACCTTTCTAATAAACGTGAAATTCAATGGCAAACATATCGAATTATTTGATAAAATAATAAACCCAGAATACGTGTAAAGTTAGGCACGTCCGTACCCTTTGCATTCGTTTGACTTCACTTCTTAAAAGAGAGCTTCGTCTTTAGTTTAACTAGACTCTGCACGCAGGGTAGCACGTCCGAGTAGCCCTGAATACTTCTTGGCTTCCACAAATTATGTGCTCAGTTAAATATCGATATGCTGCGTCCTGAGACACAGTTAACGTTTTTTAAAAAGAAAATGCATTACTTCGGGTTTTTTAAGATATCAATGCATTAAAGGGACCAAACACCTTACAAAACTTCTTAACGGAGAGGAATAAGGGAAAATGCTTGCCGGATTCTGAATCTGTGTATTTTTTAATGATTTTTCACCGTCTTAGAATTTCAATTTTTTTTCCTTTGAAAAAATGAGATTTGCATTGTTTTCCAATTAGAAAAATGAGTAAACATGAATAGCCCGAAATATAACGGTGAGATTTTGTTTTAAAAAATCATGGATATCAAGGCTAAATATAGCTATAGTAAACATAAAAAGCAATGCTTGGACTCTTCATATTCACACAAAAAATTAATTAGTAAATGAGGTTTGATATTTGTGAGAATAAGTTGTACGAGGTGCAATGCTCTACAAACACCACACTACAGGGTGGATTAGGATCAATGACACACATAAAAATTAATTTAAAAATATTTCATGATAATTATCTCAAACAAAAGCAGTTGGCGAAGGATACGTTTCATTACACTCAATAAATAGGTATCACTTTTGACTATATATAAATATCTCATGGGAATGTATTTCCATCTGCTCAAGATATTATATTTTAGCTTCGAAAATCACAATCGTTGGATAATACATTTGTCTCAGAATGATAGGCCGCCCTGTAGCAATGTAGCTTTCACTTGAAGTGTACCCTTGAGAATAATGAACTTACTTTCAAATTGGTCTTGCTTTTGTGGTGTATGTGGCTTTTTAGCAAATCTTCCACGCTCATTTCTTTCCAGAACCATCATCTTGTTCAAATGTATCACTATACGCGCATGTATAGACAGATGACATAGATATACATATAAATTATATATTGCACCTGTATTTACTTACATATATTCCATTTGGAAAAATGCAAATGCATGAACATATATTTTCATCTTATATATGACTTCAAGCTAACATATTATTTCATATTTATATTTTCATAGTTAGTTTAACATGAATAATAGATCCATGAGAACAATATTCTTTTTTTTTAAATTGATGGGTTTACTGTGAATTCAATAAATTACAATTTGCAAGGGGTAAGTATACTGTATTAGCTAGCTAGTTTTATGTTAGGCCAGGGTAATTAAATTAGTTGTTTCTCTTTCTTCTATTTTTCAAAATTGATACGGGAATGACGGTTTTTATTTATTTTACCTTTTTTGTTTATCTAAAATGCTGATGAGGGACGGGATGATTTTTTTCTTTAAAATAACTGTAAAAACAAATAACTAATTTAGAAGGAAATAAACTGAGTTTATGTTGAATGTATATGTTGAATTTAGCCTACTTTACTGGTATATTTGATCATATATCAGTACCACGATATTGTCAATTATCCTGATCCATAAAAAGTTAAGAAAAAGTGTTTCACACGCCATGGATGCACGCGAGGTACGGTGTTTTTTTCTCAGAAATGGCAGAAAAAGGGTGGAGGGGGATTGGGCCACACGCGGGCAAGAATGAGAAACAACTAATTTAATTACCCTAACCTTAGTTCATCCAGTAGTACGTTTTTACTGCAAAGTAGTGTTTTTATATGCAGCTTAATAGCATAAAATATGTTGAATGAAGCATATGGTGTGGATTAGTCGTGTGACACACAAACTGACCAATACATGAGGGTATTAGCTACTTTTCACATAAACCAAAGGAGGACAGTGTTTTTATTTCAACTTGGAGCTTACCTCCACACGACTGATCATGTGACCATGGTGGTGGTCCCCTTTAAGGGTGATCAAAATTAAGCTGAAAACAATGGATCGCAAGAGTTTTCCCTGTGGGAAAATAGCATGGGAAATATTGTTTTCCACTTTATCCCAAAGGAATGCTTTTTTTCTTTCCAGAGATGTGTAAAGGGCTGAAAACCAGGACAACATTTCAGAAAAAATGTTGATGGGCTGTTTGAACCTTCCCTGTCTCAAAGTCAAAATTTTTTCATCATTTCCTTGAGTGCTTGTCCTGGAGTGTAATGCATTGCCCTAACATATGCACCTGTTTAAGTTCTCAGAAAATAGCCGAAATCCAACATTTGACTGTTTGAAATATGTTGCGATACTTTCCGTGCTCCTTCCAGAACATAAACTCCTCAAAATTTTTACAAAAACTCTCCCATCGTTTCGCTGTGCCATCAGTTTCGTGTCTCTTGAGAGGACGATATTTTCGTTTAATCAATTATTTGGAAGAATATACAAGAACTTATACCTACCACATACTGGAGCAGAGCCTATTGGAATCTGAAACCAAAATAAACAAGGGTCGCTTTATGTGCTCATTATAAAATTTTGCGAATGACATTTTATGTCACCACCAAAAGTGGTGACATCATATTCTTATGGTCTTCGTTCTCTATGACGGCGTTTGGCGTCTGTAATTATGGTTGGCCTATTAGTATAAAGAAAACATGCGTTGTTTACGGGTGTGTAGGCGTTAATTACGCTCGTGTAGATGTAAAATTACGCCCGTGCTGACGAAAAATTACGCCTGTGTAGGCGTAAATTACGCCCGTGAAGAAGTAAATTCTACGGGCGTTCAGAATACATTTACAGGCGTGAACTTACGGCGTTAAAATTATTAATTACGGGCGTTAGACTGTTATTTTACACGCGCTGAGAAACATCTTCACGCCCGTGGAGTTTATTTTTAGCGCCGTAAATTATGAACCAATCAGAACCTTACTTACATGATGATTTAATGCATCCTTGCTAAAAGAGCAACTCCGAGATACTTGCGCTAGTATATAGTAAACAACAATCAGAAGCCTGCTTACATTTTAGTGTGTTGCATTGAGGCCCTTAAATATTCGTTCAAGATTGAACTAGATTTAACCAAAGAAGTATTCATTTTTTAGAGCAAATTATATTAAAAGGCAAATTGAAGAGACATGTACTGTGTTGGCAGTTATCAACACTCATTGTAGAAACGACAAAATTGCAGAGTATTTTGAAAAGGTATACATGTTTGGTTTCTAAATACGATGATTTTTGTATAATTCTCCAATCTAGGCGTCGGCTTCAGAGGTAGGCTAGGTAGGGACTTATTAAGCTCACACGCATTGCAGCTTACAGTCTCCATTATACAGTCAGATCGCTAATGTATCTCTCTAAAGGATGTGTCCAGATACTAGAATTATATTATCTGATCAACTGCAAATTGACTCTAGACTAAAGCTATATCCTGCAGATCTGGCATTTTTTGAAAATGTACTGAAAATGTCAAATGAGCCTATATACCTAGTATACCTAGCCAACATATGTTCAAATTTGGTGTTAGGGAGATGTGTACTTTTTGGAATCTTTATGCAGCCGTCTTTATATGTCACATGTTATTTCCAGGAATACATAACTCATTTAATATACGATGTAAATCTTTCACATTTGCACAAATAGTGCACCGAGATACCCAGAAAAGAAATAATATTTCATATGCCTCCAATTACAACAGTTGTTCCTGGCACAATCATGAGTATGTTATTAACTTGCACAAGGATCTTGGAGTTGTACTTTTAGCTATAATGCATCGTATCATCATGTAAGCAAGATGCTGATTGGTTCATAATTCACGGCGCTAAAATGAACTCGACGGGCGTGAAGATGTTTCTCAGCGCGTGTAAAATAACAGTCTTAACGCCCGTAATTAATAATCTTAACGCCGTAAGTTCACGCCTGTAAATGTATTCTGAACGCCCGTAGAATTTACTTCTTCACGGGCGTAATTTACGCCTACACAGGCGTAATTTTTCGTCAGCACGGGCGTAATTTTACATCTACACGAGCGTAATTAACGCCTACACACCCGTAAACAACGCATGCATTCTTTATACTAATAGGCCAACCATATGTAATGGCCATTGACGTCTGTAAAAAATTCTTACAACTTCTAATAACTTAACAAATACTGTTTAGACTGACTTCAAATCTTTCAAACCTATCTACAAGTTCTCAGAAGTTCGAATCTAACTTTATGTTTGAGATTTGACCTTCATTAACCTTCTCAAGGTCAAAAAAGTATTTTTTCAACATTTTCTCGAAATCAAGTTTTCGAATCTGATTTTTTAGAATTAAGACTTGAACTCATAATATTGTAAGCAACTAGTTGGTGACATTTTGTCATGTTAATGCCTTGTTGTAATACCAGATATATTCGTTTTCATTATTGAGAACATGCATTGACATTTTTTACAAACTGGGACCATAACATCAAGGGACATTTCATTCACAATGAAGTCATTACAATACATGTCGAAGAAAAATGACATAATAATAATAAATAGGTATAAAGGACGTTATTATCACAATACTATTGACATTGCTCACTTCTTAAAGTTAGTTTCCATGCCTTATACAAAAAATAATCGAAAAAAATTAATATTGGATGGAGGGGGGGGGTGGATGGAGGGGGGGGGGTGGATGGAGGGGGGATTTATATGTCTTTACGATGGAACAAATTCATAAGAACTCGTGTATTTGAAAAAACTAAATTCAGTACCCCAGTAAGAAACTGGATATTATATCTCTGGAGATTGAAAAATGGGAAAATTTGGAGTCATAAGAATAAATTCAAGTAGCATGTCTTACAGTCTTATCATGTCTTACATACACGTGATCCCCCTCCATCCAATCCCCCCCTCCATCCAATATTAATTTATTTCGATTATTTTTTGTATAATTCATGGAAACTAATTTAAAAAAGTGAGCAATGTCATTAGTATTGTGATAATAACGTCCCTTATACCTATTTATTACAGGTCGTGTAGACCATTGTTGCCCGATTTATAGCAAAAACATTGACTTTTGCACGTTGGTGATGATGCGCCTTTTTTAATAGATCTCATATCTTTGAAGGGTATCAGTTCAAAAAAATACTAGATGGCCTAACATATCTTGCCATGCACTGCGCCTATTCATTTGGCAATTCAATTGTAAATTTTCTCTTGAAAAAATAAATCTTCCAAATTTGTTGAGTTTTCTTGCAGAAATTGCCTAATCCCCCCCTCCATCCATTTTGTACGATCACCGGGCGTGATAATCGTATATTTCGATTCCTTAAGTCTATAAACGTGAAATTTTTAAACATATTACCAACTATAAATATGTTTTTCAAAAAATTAGCACTCAAATACTTCTAGTTTTCAGAATCAATTCTCAAATATAAAAAACATCAGAACTTTACTCCCGGGACTTGCCTTTTAAAATATGGAAAGAAGTAAAAACGATACCTTTCCAAAGTAGGAAAAACCTGTGTTCGTAACCAAATTTGGGTCGTTGCTGTCCGTAGAACACATGATAATGTCACACTGCCCAATAGATGGCGCACCAACTTCATAGTTGATGGAATGACACGCTTCGTTTGCACTACACAATATGCTGCATTTTGCTAAACTTTCTACCCATACGCTCTGCAACGTATATCCGTTTAAACTCTGACCCGAGACAATTTTTTGAAGAAGCAGTCCAGTCGAAAAATGTGATGATGGTGCAGCCTGGCCAACCCATGCCAACAAATAAAATCCAATTTGAACGAGCATCGCAAAAACAGAAATTGATTTGATAAAATCCAAATATTTCCTTCAAAATTTTAATCAAAATCTATTCAGCTGTCATATATCAGAGGTGGTTAAGCGTACCTATCAAATTGCATTGTCACCATCATGACAATGCCCTTGTATGACTTGGGATAATGATTTATTGATGAGGTCTATCATTTGTGTACGGTATATGACCCTTCATCCCGGCCTTCATCCTAGGTATTGAACAAATGTACTTCATAATATGGATCATAGATTGTCTCCGTAACCCATACTAGGTTCATTGTTCAAATATCTAAATGTCATCCTGATAATTCTTCGTTTTTCCGTTGTTCAAAAGAATTATGTATCGATATCGGATATCAGGGAGGCTTTGTAGGAAAAGGACCTTGCACGTGATAGTAATAGCACGTGAAGATAAGCCACCTTGATTCATAAGGTTTTAAGCTAGGTGATATAACCATATTGGAAGTAGAAGAAGATGAGTGATAATCATGTAATATGTGGCCTCCTCGTAGGTTCCTCCTCCTCGTGAGTCCAAACAACACTTGTGGGCATTTTAGATGTCCAAGCCCGCCCCTTGTTAAAAAAGGGGGATAATGTGACCCCCACGTCTCTTCCGATACCTTTTCATAGCGAGACCCAAACAACATTGCATATACATTCAAGTTACCCCAAAAGGTAGGTTTCGATTTCTGTTGACTTTTTATAATCACCACCCACGGGCCTACCACCGCCCATTTACACTTAATAATTTTAAGATTTCGTGTCCGTTATAGATTCAGACATGAAATACAGATAACTTATCCCCCATGGTTCAAAGGAATTTTTCCACAGATGGCAGAATTTTTCTTAGGAAATACATCCTAATATTTATTAAGGATGTATTTCCTAAGAAAAATTCTGCCATCTGTGATTTTTTTGCCGCTTCCGATACCACTCAAATACGATCCACCACTGCCTACCTGCGCCATATAGTACCTGTGACAACAAGCTGTGTTTGGAATGTTCTTGACAATTTATTTAGTATTGTTTTGTCAATGTAACCCGGTTGAGAATTGACAAAAATATGTTTTCTCCATTTCTTTTCAAATTACATATTCGATTAGAGATTATTCATTGATTGTCAATGGCGTTCGATACATAGCGACGCAGTTCATTGTCTACTTCGCTCTCTGGTGCACTTCCCAGCACTATGTGTTGTATTTGTTTACTCTCTTTTCCAACAATGTAGAATCCTTTGCTCTCATTGACGTCACCAGCAGTAACAATGAGGAATCCGTTATACCCTAACAAAGGTCGTATGTCGACCTCTTTCGGCGATCGGATGATTGCATCGCAGACATCTGGCTTTTCATGACAATTGACAAGCCATCTTGGATTTGGGCGACCGGAAAATATCATCAAGGTGACGTCAAAGTTATGGACTTCTCTTAGGCACCTACAGAACGTGCATATGTCTTACTTAGGTCCAAAGCCTTCTCTATATTCCGGCTTCGAGTGATTGTTTACAGCCGCCGTGATATTCAATATTTGTAAAGCATGGTGACACACGCACAGTTGTTATGGCATAATTACATGAAACCGGGAATGAAACATACCTTTATGCATATATTTACAGAATATCAGCTCATATCCCCGTCCTAATCAATTATATATTATATATTTGAAATAACTAAGTGGAATTTCATTTCAAATTGCCCCCCATTTTTCTGCTGAGTGAGCTGTATAAATGGCGGATCTGTTGAGTTTGAGGTTCTTTCCGAAAATAAATTTTGAAATATCTCAATCCAGACGAGCAACACTTCAACTTAAATAGGAGTTCTCGGTGCGTGTGACACTTTTTCTAGATTGCATACGAAATCAATGAAGTTACATCTAGCTGTAAGCTGGGGACTTTTGGCTGTCTTCTTTAGTACATTGTAATGCAAGTCAGCCAAAGGAGTAGCCGCCAAATGTTCAAAACAGTAAATTTACCAAAATTAGTAACGCCAAATTAATGGAGGTACAGTAAAGAATCCAGCCCATTGAATTTTACACCATCTATTGACAGGTACATATAAACTATAAACGCCATTTACTTCAACAAACACTGCACAGTAACAATAAATATTGTGCCATCTATCATATCAAACAGTTACAATGTTACACAAACGCGCTCTCATGTTTTTAACTCATTGCTGAATGCTGGCCTAAGCTATTTTTGAGGTTTTCTGCTGGTGACTGGCGATTTTGATGTACTACATGGTACTAAAATTATCGGCTACTAGGGGCTACTTAATTTGGCATTACAGGAATTTGAGACACCAGTCCATAAAAATACTTAAATGTTTTTTGCTGGGAAAAGCAAGGTTGTAGCTTATTAACTTGGAGCAAAGGAGTTTTAGAATTTCTGTCTTTCAATATTAATCATAAAATTAAAAGCTAAAAGGCTCTGAACTTCCTCTACAATTCCAACACATAAAGTACATATTGTAGTATAAAGAATTGTATTTCTTCTAAACTGTACAATATTTACATTATCTTACAGCTCTACAAATATTTACAAGAATAAAGTTAATAAATTATAAGAAGTAAAACTTCCATTTCAATTATTTTCAAAAAATGTGCTCCATAACTATATAATCCTCTTGAGAAGCCCTTTCTGAGCTTTTCCTTTAGTATTTCTAAAAAGACATTGTTTCTTTATTCCATGCTATTTTACTCTTTCACATTATTTTGGCTCTCAAAACAGGACTATTATAGCTAGTACCTTGACATATTTGTCATATACAGTACCTTTATCATCCAATTTTATGAATATGTAGTTAATTACCTTCAGATCAATCAAGATAGACCCCAATGAGCACAATAAAAATGACAGTGTTGTATTTACAAAATTGTTTATGTACACATCTTTTACATATTTTCATAGAAAATGTCATTAATGTACGATGTCAATATATCTTGAATATTATGCACCAGCCAATGGCTTACAAAGCTGAAATAATCACTTTTACATTATTCATAACTCAAGTTACTAATTTGCTTTCATTTGCTCATGAGAAAAATACCATGATAATCATGTTAGGTTCATGCAATAACATGCCTGTTTACTTTATTCCTTGCTGATTACACTTGATTTTGCATGATAACGATGACATGGTTTAAAATCTGATATAAATTTATCACCATATATGTCATACAAAACTATGGTCTCAATATACCATATTCAAGTTGTCAAATGGCAACAGCCAGCATATATGTTATGTATCAATGGAAAGAAGTTTCATTTCTGGACATAAGCCATTAATAATCTAGATCATGTATTTCTCTGATATTTTACATATGTTTAAGATGATGTAATGACAGTAGGTAAATACTGATCTATCTATAATATCACATATGTACTATAAAATCTGTACTATCACATATCTATACAGTTTTATCCCACGATTAATGTGTTACCTGAACAATAACAGCTATTGATATTTCTGATATTATTGAAATCCGTGTGATATTTTCCAGTAAATCGTTTATTAAACGCATATGCTAATTATGCTAAATATGCTCGAAGGCTGCTAACTAACGATTAAAAAATGGTATTTATGACAAACTATATCATGTTATTTACTTTTAATTGTTAAAAAAAAGTGTTTCAAATATTCAATTGATATTCTAATTTCTAGTTTATATTGTCTGCCAATGTCCTGGAAATTGGATCAGAACATCACAAGGTGATTGTAATCATGGGATAAACCCAAATCACATAATTTCTCGTGATATCATTTTATCGCCCCGTAGATATCAAATATCAACACTCATTCACTTCGCTCACTCGGCGATAAAAATGATATCACTCAAAATGATGTGATATATATATCACATGTCTGTGCTATCACATATTTATAGTATCTCACATTTGTAATATCACATATCTCAAATCTGTATTATCACATGTCTGTACTATCACATATCTATAGTATCACAAAGGTTTTAGTGTTTTACATAATTTCATATTGAACATCCTATGATTTTCTAAGAATATCATTTAAATCAACTCAGTGATATTGATATATGCACTCATTTGCTTTGCTCTCTCGTGCAGATATCAATATCACCTCGTACATAAAAATGAAATTCCTCAAAATAATAAAATATCCTATAAATATTGTATGATTATCTAATATCATATCTTTGTTTCATAGAGTATTTTCCTAATAATGTTTCTTGAGATGCAAAAAATTAAACAATATCATATTACATAATAACAAGAAATTAACATGACAAAAATGCTATTAACAAATAGAATGGCTGAAACGATACATTACTACTTTGATGGCGACAAAAAACAGAATTCATAAAACTGTCAAAACCAAGTACAAAGTAATGATTGATTAATTTGATTTTTCTAATCAGTATTTTACAATATAATGGAAGTCACAAAATCAATGTCTGTAACAAGATGCCATCTGTGAAAAATAACTAAATACTGAAATCACATCAATTTATCACTTCTCAAACTGAGCAGGTTAAACACAAATATATGTTGCACATGAGATATTGCATCTAAATGGACGGATCGTGTCTCACCCATCTTCCATAAATATAGATATTTTTGGTTTTATAAATAGATGTCACTGCTAATTGTGTCACTTTTGGTGCTTATTTTCCTCATTCTCAGAGTTGAATGTATGTGTCATCATACGGAGCTGCATGTGAACCAATCAGATTACCCATATCCATATTTCCTTTTAGAATTTAGGGAGAATGGTATCCATTTGTGTGACATATCTTGTTTACAGGACAGTACGCTTCATCTGAATTATCATCGCAGTCTTGGACGCAGTCGCATGTTCTCTGGAAGTTGATACACTTGAGATCGGACTCACAGACAAATTGACCCCACTTGCATAGCGGGTTAAACGTCGTCGTCAGGATCGTGGTGGTTGTCAGGTGAACTACAAATACAAAGAGATGAAATGTCAGTGTGTGACATAAGGGGTACCACTACAAAATTGAATGATAAATATGACCATTGATATAAAATATAACAATGTATAAGAGGAGTGGTAGGCTCAAATAATTACAAGGGGTGGACCAAAAGTAAAATGACTCATGCTCTTTTGCAATTTCTTTTAATTTCACAGTTTGTAATTGATTAATGACTTCAAATATACCCTCAAAATAAGGCAATAAAATTATAAAAGTGCATTTTAAATGAAAACATATTTCAAAGTTTGGTATTACTTGATTCAAAGTTTGTACAAAGCTTTACCTATCAAATATCAAAACATACATGTCATAAAGTTTTTTTAATTACATTTTATATTATCATTATTATATTATTATGTAACATTATTTTCCATTGTATGTAAATATTAAAGCAATAAAGTTCACACAAGTTTGTCTTTGTGACATCTAAACAGGTGTTTAGTAAGGGTAAAGCTTGTATATGGGAACACATCTATGAACTGAACAAAGGGAACAACAGTCTCAGCCTTAATTGGATCACTTCATGTGAAAACAATGAACCCAAATTTAGTTATGCTGATATTTTATCTTATTACTGTAAAACATACTTCGTTCTCTTGTCTAGTTCAATTCGTATCATTTATCTATACATGTATCTATATCATTTTCCTGTTCCAAATAATTATCTGCTCAGGATAATGCACATTCTTAAGTATTTAAAAGCTGAGAATTATGAGCTCTCTAATTTCTGATATTTTATTTGTTGTTCACTTACCAACAAATTGTTACCTTTTCCTCTTTTCATTCTATCATACTGATTTCTATGCTTAATTTTTATAAGGACCAAACAATCTTTCATTTCTAGCAATTTATTGTGTTAACCCTGTGATTCATTGTGGGACCCACATACTATCTATCCCTCTCAAACAATGAATAAAGAGGGATGAATCAGAGTGACTGTGATTTATTTACTCCATTTTCCTGATTTGCCCTCTTGTACTGTATATCCCTCAAGACATGACCCAAGGGAGCTTTATTTCTGACTGCTTGTTATTGTTTCCTGCTGCTGCTAGCAGTCCCAGACAGATGAATCAATAACCAAAACCCCAGCAAGAAAAATATCACATTTTTCATTTTTAAAACACAAAATAACACAAATAAAATAACACAAATGAAACAACACGGAATAAAAAAAACAAAAAACAGGCATAATCAAATACTATATGCTATATGATACATATATCTTTCACTCTTTTTTAAAAAGCCTATAAAAGGTGAGATCACAATGACTAAGTCTACCATTTTTAGAAAGGTTTGCATGGAAAGTATAAATTAAATTAATTAGCATGCAACTTTCTGTACACAGCTAATCACACTGTTGCATGTTAAAATCAATTCTGAAGTGACTTGGGCACAAAATAGACATATTGGATATTTCCCATAACCAAGTTTATTGATCTTAAGAGAGAAAATTCATGAAATATGACATACATGTACATTGTACATGTATATTGATCACTTCTTCTATCCAGATACACAAATGATTTGAACCTGCCACCAGCGTCAGTTCATCAATTATTGGAAGGCGGCTATTTCTGATATTGAAAAATTTAGATTAATGGAAAGTACCCACACAACAAAAAATCAATGAATGTGTGATACAAGGAACAATGTTAATTTACATTTTCAAAAGCCTGAACTAAACTAGAAATTACAAAGATTTTTGTTAAACCAGAAATCAAGACAGGGAACTCTACAAATGTAATATTCAGGATGAAGCTTGTCGTTGATGTAAAATAAAACAAATATTTCTTTTTTTATGATCAATACCTTCAGCACTTTCACAAGTCGGGATCGGGACTTCGTAGCATATCAGTTAATTGTAAAAAATGCTGAGGCATTCACCTCAACAGAATAAAGTATTTGTATAATATCCCCAAGAATGTATCTAAGGGAAACATAACATCAATGCATTGTCCTTATATCAATGGTTTATCATATTGTAAATGTTATGAGATGCCTTGAGCTCCATGCATAGGATTCATATCAGGTATGCAAAATTAACATGTTTGTTCAGTCAATTTAACTCCTGCAAAAGCATACCTTGCGTGCAGAGTCTAGTTATAAACTACCAATGAAACTCTCTTTTAGGAAGCAAAGTTGAAAAATTCAGAGTAGCAAAAACACCAAATCAAATGGACGCCAATAGTTCTGATTTGAAACAAAGTTCAATTTGTCCCAATTTAATAACAAATACCGAAAGTGAAAATCAAGCAAGTGATCATACATGTACATAGATGCCCTAATGGTTATACCTGCATCCCCTTTCTCTTCTTTTTCAATAGGATTCAATGGATCAGATGTACTTGGTGTATCAACTGGCACAACCTTTTTAACATTTGCCTTTGTTGTTAATGTATCAGATATTGCAGTACTAGACAGTGTAGTTCTCGGAAGTCCTACAGTACTTAATGGTTCTGTTGAATTAGGGAAAACTGAAGTATTTGCTGGTGACATCACAATGTCTGATACAGTTGTTGTATCTTGACCAGATGTTTCAAGAACAATTGTAGCGATATAGCAGACTGTCCACATTATCCATACAAGCCTGTGAGCCATTTTTGAGTCTTTTCCGATACCTGATCCAGATACAATATTTTTGTTATGCTATTTTATTTTTGTATCCTTTACTTGTACTGTGTGTGTGATGATCTTTTGCTCATGGAGGTACATGTATGTATTGTCACAATCTCAATTTTTGTGCCAGTTATAAAATGATCTTCAAATCAGATCTTCATTAATGATGTACAATAATATCACATCTTAAAGTATATATATGATAATTGATGAGGACCTTAAATGATGTCCTGCATATATAGCTCCAGATCCGGTCCACCTAGTCCTTCCTTAAATATTTCACTCACGACCAGAAGACTGGGAATGTCAAACTCCTCAACCTTAGTATTATTCACAAAGTAAAGCTTAAATGTGTTATTTATGATACAGAAATTTATTATAGCTAACCAAGCAGGTCTCAAATTAACATCTGATCAATTATTTAGCACCTCATCCAGACTACTATAAGCCTGTACTACTAGTCCAGATATCCTTAATCCTAATCAAATCCATTTAATGTTCCTTTTTAAAAAAGAAGATTTTAAATGTATCTGTTAAAAATGTTGATAACTGGAACTTTTCAACTCGTGTTAATATCTGATTATTCAGTGTATTGTTTATAATGTAACTAAGGGTTGCTAAGCATTGATCAATATATGAGTTATTTTATAAGCTGCTAGATATCACTTTCATATGCCAATCAATTAAATACAGTTGTTTTTTGAGGTACTTAAGTCTGTCATTAAGATCTATTGTTCATCTTACTGGCCCTTTGTACAGCAAAACACATTGAACAATGAATGAATTGTTTGAATAAGACATTAAGAGCAATTGGTTTTGTTTATTGAAGATCAATGACATCATGTTGTATATTATATTGTTTTATAACATAAATGTTATTTCGATGGAATAATTGTTTGCCACATATCTTTCAAATGGTTATAAATAGTCAAACATAATATGCATGAAAATTATGTCATATAAGATCTAAAACTAATTATGTGCAGCAATGAAGGTCTATGAAAGTAAGAAATGCCCAGTATTTAGATGGTGTATAGATTTTGAAAAAGATCAAATATGATATGTATATTCAAATATGATCAGCATGCATATTACCATAGTGTGACTAAAAAAACAGTTAACATTTCAATATAAATATGTTCCATAAAACTTCTATTTCGAAAATATTGAAAGTTTTCCCATGCAGCTTACGATCAATACTCGACGTTTCAGTTGTGCTTGAGTATTCAACCAATGCAGTTGGCATTTCAGCTGTAGCGTTACTTTGAGTTTGTGCAGCTGTAGTACTAGCTGTAGTACTTGTATTTGAAATAGTATGCGTAACTGACAAATCATCTGTATTTGATACTAAGGTTGTGCTTGGCAAATCACTTGTAGCAGCACTTGACATTTTAGTGGAAGTCAAAGTTGTAGATGTTTGTACGGTCGACTTTGGAGTTGTTGAAGGTGTAGTTTTTTGGTCTATTTTCGATGAATCAAAAAATTAAGATGTAAATGCATATTTTCCTAGTTTTAATTATTATGTATGATATAATTGTATTCTTAAATTAGGTCAAACTAGTAACTGTTCCCCAAACATGCTTTTCTGAGATTCTAATGATCATTAATCTAAAAACTTTAAGAACCATATATTAGAGGCCCCCACATGTGCTTCCTATCAGATCCTATCTAAAAAAAATCAAATTTTCACACCAAAACAGACTTTGTTTTTTTACTCAATCAAGAAAACAATTAGTTTTGATATGTTCTTCACTTTTTGAATACAAAAATGAGGGAAAAGCATTCATCATTTTACACCAGTAGTAGTTTGCTTGAACCTTTCATTGTATTAATGGATATTGATGTCATGTCTACATGTAGCTAATTTCTTTAATTAACATTTCTATAAGATGAACACCATCTCATTTTTGTATCAATAGCTTCCATTTTAATATTAACTTCATAAAAAAGTAGAGTAAAATATTACTTTCGCAGTTTAGTCCCTGATAATACTCTAAGCACTGGCACTCGTAGCTGTTAATGTAATCAACGCACGTCCCATTGTTGAAGCATGGCTCTGAGTAACATTCATTGATTTCTGGAAAAATAAGAAACATTTAGTAGTAGTTTTAGGTTTAAAATGTATCAAAATATTCTTGTCTAAATATATTTTTAAAATATGTAGCTATACTTTACAGGTTAATTTCTAAAATTCAGTTTATTGTTGAACTTTCACCATCAAATGTATCTAATCCTCTAATAGATAATATTGATTAATTTAAAGACACAAGATATACATGCAGCCTCAACAGTACTTATGGGCGGGGTCAAAATATCGATGTTCATATGGAGACGAAAGTAATTTCGTTTGGACAACAACCCCCCCACCCCCCCTCTAGACGAAAGCTTAGGTCACTTCAAAAAAACATTGATTTATGAGAGGCATAATCGTATCCTATTTGCCGGGTTATTATTACGGTGAATTAACACACGTTCGCAATTTAACTGCATTGAACTCTTCAAAAGGAGGAGGGAAAAGTACGGAATTTATTTGAAAAATGATCGAATTATCGTCTTTATCTACCAATATTTTGGACCTATCACACAAAAAAGCTCACAAACTATTGAAAACAAGCCTTTTTATCAGAACATAGAGCCAGAAAAAGTGGGTAAGTCCAATTATTTTTTGTATATCAGATCCGAATTATCGATGTTTTTTTGGTCAACGAAAGTGCCCAAAAACCCCCTCCCCCCCTCGCGAAAGTACTTTCGTCTCCATATGAACATTGATATTTTGACCCCGCCCCTTATATATATTTTTTCCACTGTTAAAATCTATGACATCATGATCATTAAGACATCATGACAAACCATCTCCCTCCCTCTTTTGAGGTGACACCTTGCTCAATGACAGACAGAAATAGCCTATACTATGCTAGAATGCCAATGTTTATGAGCTAGTGTAAAATCATCTCACCCCACAACAGCAAAAGATAAAAATTGGTGACATTATTGAGAGTTTTCACCTACCAGTTTCACAGAGTGTTCCAACAAATCCTAGAGGGCACTTGCACTTAAAGCTGTTCACCTGATCCTGGCACTCAGCACCATTCTTACAGGGGTTAGAGGTACACTCATTGGTTTCTGGAAACAATTTCAATTACATGGGTTTATATAGGAAGAAAACTGTATGGAACAATGTGAATAATGTTTTAGTTGTACAGATGAAATAATATGTTTTATAATTGAAAGAGGAATATTTGACAATCTAATATTTCTGTATATTTTTGACAAAAACGACCCATGGGTGCATATAAAAAATATAAACATTACGACTCATGAAACTCAACTGCATCAGCATAAGCATGAAAGACCGTGATTTGTGAAATTGTAACAATAGCATTTGAGAAACTACATCCTGGTTGTTTCTTACCTTCGTCACAATTGAGCCCCTCATATCCAGGTTCACAGGTGCATCTATACCTGTTCAGGTAATCTGTACAGTTGCCATTAATGCAGGGATTAGACCAACACTCATTGACATCAGTCTCACAGTACGTCCCTGTATATCCAGTCCCACAATTGCAGCTGTATGAGTTGACAAGGTCGTTACAAAGTGCTCCATTCTGACAGGGGAATGATGCACACTCATTCACATCTGCAAGAAATGATACAAGTAGAGTACAGGGAGGTGTATGAGTCTGCGATACTACAGCATGGAGTACAGTAAGATGGGGACTCAAAAGCAAAACATGAAAGTGATGCACACTCATTAAGGGATTGATGCAAGGACTTGAAGCAAGAGCTTTGTAACTTATTAATAATACAAATAGTTCACATACAGAAATACCTTATGATGTACAATGTGAGAAAATCAGGAAGTTCATTTCTGTCGATTTAGAGAGGAAATGAGGAAACAGTCATGATAACTCAGTGGCTACATGTACTTTACTCTGCAAATACCAAGTTTTCTGAATATATTGTCCTGCTCCTACTTTTACTATTTTGTGAGTTTGTGCATTTGTTTATCCTCTGTAAGCCTTGCCCAATGTAATGTATTTATCTTGAATTATAATAAATCATAAATCTCCTACCTTCTCCACAGGTAGGTCCAGCATATCCAGGTGGGCATTCACATGTAAAGCTGTCCACATCATCAATACATGTTCCTCCATTGGCACACGCTCCTTCAACACAATCCTCTGAGTCTAAAACAAAGAAACATTGATTTGTTCATTTATTTTCATCAATAAATTCTGTATAAGCTATTAGGACTCATAATAATATAAATAGGGCAATCCTTGACTAACATAACATATCTACACATATATGTGTATGTACGAAAGCTTTGTCCTTTCAAGGTTTCCTTGATCAATAAATGAGTCATGCCAAAGGGGTCTTATCACAGATTTTTTCAACATTTTTCATTTTTCTTAACAGCAGTTTTCCTATGGCAAGGCTCAAATGTCAATTACACTTTGTCCATAGACAAAGAAATATTTCAATGTTTTCACTTCATTTTACAATAATATTATTCCACCACTACACTAACTACACTTACTACGTATACTACGCTACTACGCTGGGGTGGGGGTCAGGCTAGGAGCATACTACACTTACTACACTTACTACATACGAGGGTATATCATAAAGTTCTCATAATATCTCTCTCATTTTTTATTTTTCAATATATTCTATTGAAATTTTCAGGAAATCTGCAGTATAGAACACTGTATTAATCTATCAAAAAATATTTGATATAACAGAAAAATTAAATAAGTAATGGTTGCCATAGTAACCGGAAATCAAGGCACCCGGGGCAAATAAAAATAATTGAGAAAATGAGCTTAAATTAACCATGTTTACATACATAAGAAACTCTCATAAATTATCAAACACATCAAAATGTTATGTTAAATATGTTGTTAAATGGTTTTACTATAAAATAAATTGATCATGTGAATTATGTGATGTCTTAGGGGATGCTTACATGCTTCATTAGATGTGATACCAGACTCTGGGAATCAAAGCTTAATGATCAGAAATGACAGAGTAAGATAATGCATAGATGCAGAGATCATCAGAAAAATAAAATTCATACTGACAAAAAGTTTGGTTAATTTCGAAAAGTCCTTTGATCATACTAAAGATGATCTAAAACAAATATATTGCAAAGTTATCAACAAAATTACCCCCCTATTTGTGGTCTAAACATATTTAAGATAAACTAAAGGGGGAAAATCGACTTTCCTTGGAATATTTGACAAAACAGTTGTAGTGCCTAACAACACTTCTAATGATGCATTACAATCATCCATTATGAGATCACACAGTTCACATGACCATTATAATTGTTCAAAACAGTCAAGAACACATGGCATTTAACAATTTGATGTGTTTCATAGCTTATTTAATAGCTTATTATTCATTTAAACATGGTTAGTTGGGGCTATTCTTGCACAATTTTTTATTTGCCCCGGGTGCCTTGATTTCGGGTTACTATGGCAACCATTTCTTAAATAATATTTCTGCTGTGCCAAATATTTTTTGATAGATTAATACAGCATTCTTTACTACACATTCTGTGAAAAATTCATCAGAATATATTGAAAAATAAAAAAATTAGAGAGATATTATGAGAACTTTATGATATACCCTCGTATTCCATTCTATTGTGATTGATGTATTACCTCTAGATCAAAATATTTCTTTATTTATAATGATCATGCAATATTTAAAGGTAAAACTAAATGTTTAAATTGATAAATTCTTCAAATCATCATGCAGACAAAAGATTATGGAGGAATTTGTAGTGTGATCATCTGGAATGAAAGCCAGGATGTCCAGTTTTCTCGATGATAATGAAAAAAACTTTACAAACTCAAATTCCTTTCACAATTTTATAGAAGCAATACCATCCAAGATTCAATATATTAAACAGATGTCTAGAAAATGGATATATGTCTACAAAAATTTAAAAAAATCAAAAACAATCAAAATTCTTAATGAATATCAGATTGATGCATCTCTATGTGGCAAACAAAATACACCTTTAATTCAAAAGTTGCTTCTATTTGTATAAGCAAATGCATAACTTTTGTAAATAGCACCAAGAAAACGGGAAACGGCTCCCATTTTTTGTTAATAAACTCCTTCCATTTTTTCATCTACTCATGTAAATAATCATCAGTTCAACATGCAAACTTCAAAAGAGAAATCCACTTTCTATACAATGTATCATATCAGAGTAAACAATTGTTTTTTGGAACTGATCATGTGATAAAAAATTATCTACCAAATATTGTGTATTCAAGTTTATACAAAAAGTGCATATATGTATATCTTGCTGCAAAAACTCATCTAGAAAACAATAACAATCCCTCTGAGCATTGAGCTCTGACTTACTGATAGCACAATTGGTTCCTTCATACCCTGAGTCACAACTACATGTGAAGCTATTGAGAGCTCTAAGGTTATCAATACATGTTCCATGGAAAGAACATGTGTCCTCAAAGCAGTCAACAGTGCCTGGTGAAGCATGGTTTAAGTAATACATTGTATTAATTTAATAAACAGAGTCACAACTACATGTTAAGCTATTGAGAGCTCTAAGGTTATCAATGCATGTTCCATGAAAAGAACATGTGTCCTCAAAGCATGGTTTTAGTAATACATTGTATCAATTTAATAAACAGAGTCACAACTACATGTGAAGCTATTGAGAGCTCTAAGGTTATCAATACATGCTCCATGGAAAGAACACGTGTTGTATGTGAATAAATTTTAATTAAAAAAAAACAAAAAAAACATGTGAAGCTATTGAGAGCTCTAAGGTTATCAATACATGCTCCATGGAAAGAACACGTGTCCTCAAAGCAGTCAACAGTGCCTGGTGAAGCATGGTTTAAGTAATACATTGTATCAATTTAATAAACAGAGTCACAACTACATGTTAAGCTATTGGGAGCTCTAAGGTTATCAATGCATGTTCCATGAAAAGAACACGTGTCCTCAAAGCAGTCAACAGTGCCTGGTGAAGCATGGTTTTAGTAATACATTGTATCAATTTAATAAACAGAGTCACAACTACATGTTAAGCTATTGGGAGCTCTAAGGTTATCAATGCATGTTCCATGAAAAGAACACGTGTCCTCAAAGCAGTCAACAGTGCCTGGTGAAGCATGGTTTTAGTAATACATTGTATCAATTTAATATCAAAATTGTATTTGTAGAATGTATACTGAGTTATGAAATGAAATGTTGTGTTTATAATAAAAATAGATCATCATGCATGAAGAAGTGTTTTACAATTTTTTCCAAAGTGATGGATTATTCATTCATTAGATGTGAATAGAGACTTATTGTGATTAACCTGTACACATAGAAAGTGAGACGATTGTGACAGTAATTATTAATAACTTATAAACATAAGGTATTTCATTGATAATAATTTGCTATTTTTTTCCAAAGCGATCGTTTTTTCATTCATCAGTTGTGAATACTCAATAGTAATTCCATTTATAAGTTGTGATTCACATGTGCTTATGGTGGTGACATAATAACTAATGAGCAGTTACTTCTTTGCAATTTTCAGATAAAAGAAATCAATTAACATGCATGTCTGTTTTGATCTTACAATTTTGCTGATACGAAAATAAATCAGGCATGAAAAATAAAAGTGATCTTTTATAAGAGAAATATACCTGAGCTTACGTTTAGAAATAACCTAAAATATTGTATAGCATTTCAACATCGTCAACATCAAAATATATTATTATTATACAAGTATCTTATTTTACTTTTTTTTATACTGGGAAAACATAGGATTTGATCCTATGTTTTCAGATTAACTAAATGTAAATTCATTAAGAATATTTAGATTTGGAAAGTTAAAAATAAAACAATTTTAATTGATTTCTTTTTTATTCTGGTAGGCAGAGTGGGTTGACCTTCAGCCTGTCTGCAAGTTTATATGTAAAACATAGTTTACATTATTAATTAGTACTTGAACCACCTTAAGATTGATCAAATACTTTGATTGCTTTGGTTTTTTGGTTCTGTCATTATGATCACAGGTTCTCAATTATTCAGGCCATATAAAATAATATAGGGTAACAAAAAACTTTTTTTATGATATCACATTGGAAGTAACTTACTTGTTTCACAGTTAATGCCTATGTAGCCTAGAGGGCACTCACAGACATACTTGTTGGTTCTGTCAGAACAGGTGGCACCATTGTCACAGGGGTTGGACGAACACTCATTAATATCTGGAACATCAGAAAATATATAGTTATACTGGGATTTTAAGTGAGCCTATATCTTCTAAAGCACACATGGTCTTGGGTTCTCATCCCTGGCTGTGGTTATATTTGCTTTCTTAGAGACTATACAAAGTATGAAATATAGTTTATAGATAGCATAATTTAATTCATAACTATATTTGAAAGAAATTTATATGAAATTATCCAAATCCATGCGTACATAGCACACAGCTGATGTATAATAAGCAAATTACACACTGCATTGGCAGTTATCATAATTATTAATCACCTACCTGTCTCACAGGTGGCACCTTCAAATCCTGGTACACAGTCACACTTGTAACCAAATGTGGTGGGGACACACGTAGCAAGATTCTTACAGGGGTTAGGGTTGCAATTGTCAACAGCTGAAAGAGAAAATATATAACGTAAATAATAGAGAATGTACCATCTGTCTTCATAGTGACAAAATAATTGGAAACTCTTATAAAGCAAATCATTTTTTCTTAACGTGATGAATCAGATTACAAAATAATAACATAAACAGGTGAGTGATTACCTAAAAGAGAAAAATAAATTATTTTGCTGTTTCCCCTGAACATTTATAAAAAATCAACAAATTATGTTCAAATTATATTCAATAATTACTGTAATTGTGAGCTACTGTAATCACTGACATGAGTGACATCTATTTAGTGAAAGTGATATTACAATTACAATCTGCAGTAGAATGGTTCAGATGCTTTATATAACTCTTTCCAAGTATAGATGGGACAAGAGTTATTATAATATTATTGAAAGAAAATTCTCCGGCAATTTACAAATCAACAGAAATATGATTCAGCTGTTTTATATTATTATATTATATTATTTATATTATATACATGACAGTGCTCTAACCAGGATTTTTTGTGTGGAGTAGTTTCATATTTTGATTTTTAAAAGAACATTTTCAAATTTTGTAATTTTTGTGTAACATTTAACAATTTTTATGTGTTTATGGAGTATTTTAGTTTGCAAATGGAAATGGGGAGAGCCCTGACATATGCAAATAGAGATCGGCAAAAAGTTCTCTCCTAAAGAATCTTTTTTTTATCAAAAATGAAAAATTCTGATTTTGTGAAATCTTTGTACAATTTCAATTATCAATACAAATGTCTGCCTGTTATTCATTGCAGTCTCGTCTATCACTTTATATATTGAATTCACTGATTTTCAATTATAATGTATTTCCAATAACATCACTATGACATACTTATAATGGAAAAGCATTGATTTCATCTGAATAAGTATACATTGATTTGGTTGAATTTATACAAAACAATGAGTTATTATGAAAAATAATTGTGTATTATTCAGAATATTGATTTATCCATGACATTAGAAGCAATTTATTAATGTACTCAATCTTGATACTTGATATATTTGTTGATCAAATTAATGTTTTCATATTTGGTTGGGGAATTAATTTACTTCTAATGAGTTATTACAGACTTGCATAGAAATATAATAGTATAGGAGACAATATCCTAGATCCTAATCTTGAATTACGTCATTAAAAATTCACATTTCAGTCAAACTGATGTCATATTTGGAATCTACATGTAAAATTACATCTAGTAATGTGGTTTTGCAGAGTTTATCAACTATGAAAATTTATTTTTCTTTGAAAATGTGACGGTCGGGGAGATTCCCCATAGACCCCATGTTGCAAAACCACAAAAAGTGAAATATCTTTTCTTGTGTTGGGCAGATAATATTTTCTCTTACTGGACATATTTTAATTTGTATAACTATCACATACATAAGGGTAATATGAAAAGTGAACCAGTAAAACTGATGAATAATCAAGTTTAAAAGAATTTTGTTATACCCTGCCATGTTATTTCCCCCGAATCAGCCACCTGGTGGCGAAACTGGTAACTACCTACTCGCATCTGTGTAATTGGCATTTATATTAAAGATTACTATTTAGAAATTGCATTCAGAAACTACACATTTAGAAAATGTTTGTTTAGATGCTCTCGTAAAATAGATGCTTAGAAAATGCACAAAGAAAATGGGGATCATGTCAATGTGACTGTCATGCTTTTTCTAATGGTGGTCATGAGACAATTATGAATGATGCAAATACCTAAGAAGTCAAAAGCTCTGTGTTTGAAGTATGTGGAGTCTTCATAATGGTTGGGATCTTTCGTGACAGAACATTTCAGGGGTCCCCCGCTAGATTGTGTACCTGCCCTGACATCTATTGACATATCTATCCGGTCACCAGAAATTGTGTAGCGCTGCAATCGGAAGACAATAATGAAATATGAAATATTTGTCAAAGTTCATATTATGACATTAGGGTTAAAATATTCTAAGCAGTTCAAAATACAATCACCCTAAGTTTAGACAACTTACATTTACATTTAGAATCTATTACTGGTTCTTATCCTGACATCATGTTTTTTTCATGGGAAATATTTTTATGCCCATATAATGAGCAATCAGAATAAGATGCGATTCCATTGGAACACTGTTTTTATTTCTTATATCCATTGAATCTATTTTAACAAGAAAACACATATTAATATTACTGAATTAGACTTGAAGGCAGAATAAGATCTAGCAAGTTCTCATCATCATTTTTATCATGATCTTGACTGATAACATATCATGAATCTTTATGGAGATATTATATTTGAGCTTGTAAAGAATACATTGGTAGATCAATTGTACATATTACTTGCAATTTTGTCACCCCTATAGCTCAGATTCCTTTTTAAATAAACTGAGTTTATTAATGCTTTTTGAATCAAATATACTCACAGCACAATAAAGATATTCCAATGTGTCCTCCTTATAAACAATTGCCATGTAATCTCCTTGGCCCCTATTCAAGTCATTGTCCCACTGCATTAAACAATACAGGGTTGTGTTGTATGGTGTGACTGAAAGTTAAAAATATATTTAAAGTTCTGGACAAATATATATATTAATTCAAGTTCTAATATTCATTTTAATGTCTCAGTGCATCAGACAATACATGTACAATAGTATACAGTGTGACTTCAAAAATGTATTATTAATAAATTTACAAAGGCTCTGAACAAATGGTCTTGAGCTCAAGTCTTTATTCAAGTAATTGTTTCACTGCATTAAACAACACAGAATCATGTTTTGTCCAATGTGACTGCAAGAAAATCATATCATCCTGAAGGAGCATATATTAGATATCAAAAATCTGTATATCAATTCTATCAGTGCTTTACACACCTGATCATGGGATAAAAGTAGTATTTACCAGGAGGGATTTGATATGGGGAATGTCACAAGGATGGTAATATTTCCAGAGGGAACCTAGAGACAGAGGGCCTCTACTGATACATTGCTACTTTTACTTTTACTTACAGCTTGTGGTAGGACCACCGTAACAAGTTTTCATTTCAATACGGTCCGATCTGACAGAGCTGACAGAGGTTGTTGAGCCAAGGCATTGGTTCTTTATGGAGTCACTCACTGTGTATGACACATAATAGTTTCCCTGGGGGAGTGGGGAACAGCTGAAATCTGGCCAGCTTTCTGAAAATATAAATTTAAGATGATGAATTTCAAACTTCATCAAAAAAAATGTTTTCAAATGTAATCAAATTTTCATAGACAGTAAGTCACAGACCCCTCCTTTTACTTATACGTATACCTACGTATACAGGGTGTCCCGAAAGTATGGGGCCCCCCCTAGGCAGACATATTCCAGCGTCCTCATAGTATGTGTCATATATCATTTTAAAGCTTATCCAAAGTTACATTGATTTGCCAAGTATCATGGTTTAACTCCCAAATGGGAAAAAGTTACAGTCATTTTAAAAGTTAGTGTTTTGTCAAAATAAAGTTCAATTTTACGCCACATTACTAGTCAATGTGTCCCCCCTTGGCCTTGTTAACAGCAGCAATTATTTTCAGATATGACCTTAAAAGCCCTTAAAATAGGGGTGTGGAATTTTATAACCCTCTTAAAACCTGTTAAGGGACTTTAGAAGAGTTTCCTTAGAGTTTCTACCCTCACCATCCTCTTTTTCCAACTCAATATCCATCCGACCCGAAAAGAATTGCTGCTGTTAAGATGGCCTGGGAGGACACATTGACTAGTGATTTGGTGTAAAATTGAACTTAATTTTGACCAAACACTAAATTTTGAAATGCCTGTAACTTTTTCCCATTTGGGAGTTAAACCATGATACTTGGCAAATCAATGTAACTTTGGATAAGCTTTAAAATGATATATGACACATACTATGAGGAGACTGGAATATGTCTGCCTAGGGGGGGCCCCATACTTTCGGGACACCCTGTATATAGGTAAAATGAGAGGGAGAACATCAATTAAGTGAAGTGTCAAGTCTTACCTTTATGATAGAGTGTGAGTTCAACTGCAGTCCCATTGGGTCCTACATAGTTTGTACATGTCTTGGCAGATGCTATAGGGTTAACTGAAACACATAATATTATTAATTATATTAACATGCATACAAGGGGTGTTTTATATATAAACAGAGGCTCTAAAGTTACTATAACGGCCAAATCTTTCAAATTTTGTCAAATGTAGGTGGTTACCAGTTTCACCACCAGGTGGCTAATTCGGGTCAAATAACATTGCAGATATAGGAAAAAGTTTCTCTAAACTTCAATATTTGTGAGATCTATTGGGTCAATTTTCAAATCTTAAAAACAAATATAGTAACCTTTTTTGGTTTGATATTATACAACCGAAAATATGTCCAGTAAAAGAAAATATCTGTCAAATACAAGAATGTGGCCTCTATGGGGAATCTGCCCTGGCAACTTTTGAAATCATAACTCTACATGTGATTTTTTAAGTAGATTTCAAATATGATGGCACTTCAAATAAATTTGGAATTACAACTGATGAAAATCAAGATGATTTCTACATGTACTTGCATCTCATCTATTGAGTAAATGTAATGGGTTTATGTAAAAATGATGAAAGGACGATTCTCGGTTTGGAGAACAGTCTCCTGAGCTAATAATTTTTTCATGAAAAATATAGAAATATTACCCAAATTAAACTAGGAATATTCAAAAGAGGACATTTAAATCTACAAGATGTAAAAATAACAAATTGGTCTGAAGCAGGGATAACGCTCAATAAGACCGATCCAATAAAATACAAGTCTTGATTTGGGGAAAGAAGTTCATCAGTGTACTGCGCTAATATTTTTTTTGCGAAAAATCTAGAAATATTACCCAAATTAAAGTATGACTATTCAAAAGAAGACATTCAAATCTATATTATGTAAAAAAATCAAATTTGTCTGAAGCAGGGATAATGCTCATTTAGATTGATGAACTTCGTTCTCCAAACCGAGAATCGTCCTTTCATTTATAAATTGTAACATTCAATGGGAGAATATCATGGTATGAAATGGCATAACACAAAAATTGGATACAATATTACAAACCTAAAAAGGACTCAGTACTCACCACCTGTCCCATAGACCATCTCCTGAAGGACGTCCCTATAGCGATAATACATGACACAATAGTGGAATGACCCCCCAATCTCATAATAGAAGAACCAATCACCATCACTGTACTCATCCTGGCAATCACGCTCCACTGAAACATCAACCAATGAAAATATGGTATTGGCAAATGAACCAAATTGCATTGTGTATGTGAATTAACTAGATGTCCATACTGAATAAATTCATTAGTCTTTGTTATACATACAAATGGATGTCTTTATGGAATATTATTATAGATATCTATGATTTTATTTGGATATAACTTTTATGAACAACCGCTGTGAACTGAATAATGAAATTTTAATTGATGAAGCTGTCAACAATGGTAGCTGCAAAAACATTCAACATGAAACATATGTACCATTGCATCAACATATATCTTAAAACAACTATCATTACAGCATACCCTCTGTAAAGAAAAAAGGTGCACAGGCCATTTATCAATCATAACATTTTCAATTAACAAACTCTCAGATATGGTGTAAACATTGTGAATAAGATGAACATTTTGGGTATTGGTCAAAGTATACATACATTATACATCTGAATGTTTGCTTTGATAACAAGGAAAAATAAAAAAAATATATGATTTCTAAACAACCATGTACCTTTATTCATTTACTATAGCAAAGGTATCTCTACGACAGTATAGCATGCACCATTGCAGCATATGTATGCACCATTAAAACCTTTATTAAGACAACATGCACCACTGCAGCAATTGCCATAGCAACATGCATCTTTGTAACATCATTTGTTATGTTTGCCATTGAATCAATGACGAATTTACTAAATATTATCTTAATGAAGCTACACTGAGCAAATAATCAAGCCAGGTTCACCTTCATAAATATAATTATGTTAGAACAGCATAAAATGAGGAAGAACTTTTATATTACAAAAGCTTCTGAAAGGCCTTTCATTAATCAACCATGCATACTTTATTTCTTTGCTAAATGTAATATGCGATTTATAAAACATTCTTCAACTTAAGGTGATGAAGTGTTAGGTTAATATAACATACCATTTCAGAAGCTTTAAGTAGTTACATGATAATACAGGTTAAGTATTTTAAGAACAAAACATCATCATTGGGGAGGGCATAGTGGGCCTGGGACCGACAGCCAGTACTATCCATTGGAATAGACCTCTCACAAGCTTTAGGGAGACTCTGATGAATCAGAATAGGGAAGGGGTCTTACAAGATGAAGTATATGGGCCAAAAAATTCTCTCCAAACAAGGAAAATAAATTTTTTTTAAAATTAAAAAGTAAACATTGTCTTCTATCAAGCTCCGATGTTCTCCAAATTCTCAATCAAACACAAGACTGGTTCAAGAGTTCCATTTGAAAAGTTTTTGTATTCATTTTTTTGCTGAATGGGTTAGACAAAAATGTTTTCATATTGCATAGCATAGACTTCAAAATATATGTGTAAGGAAGAGAATACTGTTATAAAAGCATGCTAAGAAGTTATCAACCCTTGATGAGCAATATATGGCCATGCTTGACACCAAAAGCACCATTTAATATCTTATTTTCATTGTTTACCAAGAATCTCAGCCTGCTTATTATCTAAAGGAAACAAATATTTTTGAGAGTATACAGTAGTAGTATATGTTATCATACAATGAGACAGGATCAGTTACCACATTTATATTGATTACTAATGACCAATGGTTCCATTTACCACTCCCATTCAAATCAATAATACAGTTTCATTTGACAAATCAGAAAAACCAAAATATAAAATATACTAAAGGCATTATTTAAGTTGTTTAAGGTTATGTACAGAGTAATATCAAATGCAAAATAGAATACTTATATTAATTTTTTTATATCATGAACCATCTATGATGAAGAATGGATCAATTGCAAATAATAATTAATGAGAGAAATGATACTGTGCAATTCTCTAAAAATAACAGAGTGATTTAATACAGGGTGAAACAGAAATATACTGAATAATTCTGAAATGCTGTATACTTACAAATAGTTGCACCTCCCCAACGTTTTTTAGTCACCTTACTTCCAGAAAATTCTAGGTAGGAATTTTGGCCATTGGAATATTTTGTGAAAAGCCACTTTGTGTTCAACCACCCATTGGGATAACCTGTGCAGACTCCAGATACTGCAAATAAGAATAATATATTATTTTGCTGTTGTAAAAATGTAAAACCATTGCAATAAATGATGCATCTAGAAGGCATTAATATGACAAATGTTACTACCTAATAATTGAAATTACTAGAATTGTAACAATTTGTTACAGATCTTGCATACCACTGAGATTGACACCAATACAGATGCCAAGAACCCCCGGGGGGATACTCCCATATATTGGCTATATGGGGATGTGCAGCTAAAGTGGGTCACTTTTTCGCCGAAAAATCCCTAGATGTGGGTCCCATTTTGAAGAAAAAATCCTAGACATGGTTCCCATTTTGATGAAAAAATCTCTAGAAGTAGGTCTACTTTTTGAAAAATCCTAAAACTGGGTACTGTTTTTGAAAAAAATCGCTGGAAGTGGGTCTTGTTTTTTAAAATTTACCTTGAAGTGGGTCTATTTTTTAAAGAAAAACCCTAGATGTGGGTCCATTTTTAGAGAAAAAATCCCTAGATGTGGGTAGATATTTTGAGTCTCAGCGGCACCCCCCTGTACAAACATTTGACCAGTGCAATGCATTCAAATAGTTTAAGAGAGAAGATAGAGGCCCGAGTAGAGATTCTCGACATTTAGGCACAGGTAATTCTACATGTCACTTTAAATTGCTGCCTCTGCCCTCCAGATTACTGCCATTCTAATGATCCCTTTCCACACCTGAACAATATTTTGGTTACCAAAACCTCATCGATCTTGTACCTTTGCTAACTAATTTGTGGAATTGGAAATGTACAAATCTGTTGACTCAATTGATCAAATCCTCTTTATTGGTTGCTATTTGTGCCAAATACCTAACCACACCATGACAATCAATATTTTCCTATTATTCTGCAATTCAATATCAACACAGGGACAGCAATAAGATGAAGTGATGCATGGCATAAAACAGCAAACAATGTAGCGCAATGAACATAGAGAATTTCTGATTTTTTGGATTGATTATTAATTTTTTGTGAAGCTCTTTATTGCTCCATTATAATATCACCAGACCTCATTTGGTTAGATGTATTAGAGGCCATCAATAAAACTGAATAATTCATGAAATCATTTGTTCTGTGAATGTACACATAGAGAAGAAACAGCTGAATAATTGAGACATATAAGAATTATTTCAAAACAAAATTTGATTTTTTTCATCATAATTTAGAATCTATTGAACATTTTATTGTTTCAATTGATAACAATTTCTGGCCCAGCAACCAATTGTTAATTCCTTATTAATAATCCTATGAAATACACAACTAATATGTACCATGAGATCATGTATGTTTGTTTGTCAATGATTAATATTGTAGACCTTCTCCTTCTACATTTCTAGTTGGTTTGGGGCACAGGCCTATCTAAGTTGATCTTCCCCATTAATTGCTAGTTGATTTAGGGCACACTGCACAGGTCTAAGTAGACCTTCCCCTTATTGCTAGTTGGTTTGGGGCAGGACCTTCACTATAAACCCTTTACTGTTGGTTAGTTGATGACACAGGCCTTTACAATAGACCTTCACTGCCCACCCCCACGGAAATGGTTAGGACATAAGTCTATCTTGGCAAACCAATTCACTTTCTCCTCTGCAACCTATCAGCACTTAATGTACTAACCCCTCCAGTAAATGGATTAAAACAATGTCTGATCAATTGGAGACTAGATCAGAGTCAGAAAAGGACAATAAACACATCCTTAGGAAACACTATTGATAGTGAAGTAATGGTACACTAGCTTATCGATCAACACGACAAAAAACAAAGAGTCATAATTGATTTAATGTTTGCAAATATTTAAGGTATTTGCATAACCATCTAGGGGGCATGATGTTATTATGATACACCACATATGATATGCTTGATTTCCTGGTATAAAATAAAAATATAATCATAGCCTTTTATAGTTGTTATTCCATTGTTATGCCTCGCAGTCACATTTGTTACTGCAACCAAAAGTAATTCTACAACTGGCATGGAAAATCTACTGTCAGATATTTTAGCAGTCACATTTGCAATGGCAGCAGAACAACATATTTTGATTTTGTTAAGACATGGTCACCATAGGACATCCATTAACTGTTATTTTTGGCATTCATTTTTTCGGCATTCATTTTTTGGCGTGAACTGAAACATTTTTGCTTGACAATGACTTGATGACATATTCCGTCACGCAAAAACAGGTCAATTTCTTCAGCAAATGTGTGACAAATACGCAAATTAGGGGATACATGTAGTTGGACAGCCTGCAATGAATAATAAAATCAGTATGCAAGTTTCTGAAAATATTCATTGATGATTTTATTCCCTCTTTCAAATTCAAGTTCTACTTATTATCATGATTTTTCTTAGTTTCATAGTATAATACAAAATGTCCTGATGATAGATTTTTTTAAACTGAACAGCAGCACTAACTTGAATATACTATTATATCTATAATCCGATTACAGCTTTCAATCTTTGCAATATTCCAATAACACTGGAATGTAATCTACTTTGCGTTAGAGATAATTGTTCTAAATGAATCAATCAGAATTTATATGAAGCATGCAACATTCCTTTTACAATGTATCTCTCTTCATAAAAGGTATTACCAAGCATAAATTATTTGCTCTACAATGGGGAGCCAAGAACTATTAAAAAGTGAGGTTAACAAAATTGTAAATGTAAATGATGACTTGGATATACTGTTTCGTACTCATTATGGCATCTAAAGATGTACATATTACATGTACTGTAAGACTGGAGTCACTGAATCTAAAATTGTGGAGACATTTTTATCCCATCCCCTTTAGTTATCAACAATAATTTTGAATCGCATTGCTGTAGAATGACACTAACTCAAACATTAAAAAGAAAGATAAGCATGCAATTAAATATGTCTTTAATATTCCACATACTTGAAGATACTAATTTCCATGAATATACATACTTCTATAGAGCAAAGTTATTTTGTATGTGCATTCATAATTCATGTTTTTCAAATGTCAAATACTCACACGTAAAAAATAATTTATACATTTTCTCACCTGTATTTGAACTCATCCAGTTTAAAACTAATAACAGTAAAAAGATCTCTTTACAAGCCATACTTGTACTTTATCTAAGTTCACAACTATCTAGTTATATCCTTATAATCTTGGTTTATGCACAGTATATCCTTAAAAGTTCACCTTTTCTATACAAAACTTTCAAGTTCGATTTATTTTATCCAGTTATAGATGCCATGTTGTTGGAATTCAATACAATCCATTGACCACATTATTGGCTTAGTAGGCACTATTTATGTTCCGTTGTTAGGGATATTGTTTGGTTGCTAAGGCCTTACTGCCATCTTTTGTATATTTAAGGTATTAATCATACTATAGTTTATTTGTTAAACATCCAATGTGGACGTTTAATATAATACTAATGGGTGCTTATACAAAAACGGGATAATGGTATTAAATAGAGTTCCTTGGTATTAAACTTTTCACACAGTTTGCAATATTAATATGACAGAAAAATAAGCAGGTAAATAAACCCATTGAGTATACATGTTGAACCTAAATGTACTACCTTAATGTAGTACCTTAATGACCTTAACTCCTCAAGTGACCTGCAACTGTTATGAAATGGCATTGATCATTATAACTAAAGGTCCTATATTTGAGTTTTTGAAAATATGTTTTTATCATGCATTACTTTTCAAATCATGCATTTTTCTTATTCAAATCTATTTTAGTGAATTTTTAAAACAATTGTCAGCAACAAATATTCAAATTTCCGACCATTTTTCGAAGAAAGTTAAAATGTTTTAGTCATCAACTGTTCTTTTTAACACCATTGGAAAGATTGAACAAAGGATGCACTATAATATAATGTCACATCTAATGTACTATTTTAGTGATTTACCTTATAAAAAAATTTACAAGTCCAACACAATACACAGAATGGCATCGCTAGTGAGTCTATCTCATCGTAAAACTGAATTTCAGTCGGGATTGTAGTTCAAACTTGAGCTTTGGTGGCATTTTGAACTGATACTAACTTTAAGCTTAGGGAAAGTTGAATCTCGATATGAAAAAAATTCGTTGAATTCGAAACAGCTTTAGCACTTAAATATCCCGGTCTAACTAATCTAAAGATAGCATTCAATCGATGAATAAAACAAAGAGATTTGAAATGCATGAATCATAAAGACATTAACAAATTTTTGGATAGTCATCACATTGGCTATGGAAGGTCACGTGACTCACTTAGAAAACAATTCATGGGATTTCTTTCGTCCAGTTGGAATTTATATGATAAAACTTTGACTGTGATATGTTTGTTTAACAGGGCTTCTTATCTCAATTTAGTCTTTATGTGTCTTAAATCAAGTATTTCCTGTATCTGATTGGTCCTTATTCAATACGTTAAATCAATATTATGAATATTTGGGCCCGCCCCTTTGATTGGCATTTCAATCTCGAAATATCAGAGAATCTGCGATGCATCAGAGAGAGATGCCATGGGTGTAGCGCCTATTACGCAAAATACGCACAGGCGTACCGAATGAATTTGAAAAAAATTAAAAATGTGTTGAAATGCATTAATTTATTTGCAAATTTATTGATGCTTCCTACCATATCTGTATGCCATTGTCAACATTTAAAGTTGATAAAAACACTTAGATTCCATCAAATAACGTCCTTGAAAAAAAATTCGCAGGGAGCATACCCCCAGACCCCCTGTGATGCACGACCTTCAACCAAGCAATCAGGCATCCCCGAGTGTGCGCACCAACTCAAAATATAGCCCTACGCCCATGGATGCTATGAGTATCAGAATGGGGTACAACTATACGGGACGTAACCAATATATCCCACAAAACCGTTAGTTTGAATTTTAAACCTACCATATCATATCTGCCTTTTTTCAGCATTTATATCTGGGTCTTGAAATTTTTCTTATGTTGTCAAAAATAAAAAAAGCAAACCGAACCCACATTTATGAGCGTAACCTTAGGCATGGGATTTACTATCAAATTGCAGGATTCGATCATGTGAACAATCATGAGCACATGCTCTCTCAGTGCTACGCATGCGCAGAGTTAAATTTGAAATAGTGGGAATGGCGTTAACAGCAGTTCAACATCATCATTTCAAACCTACAGTAATAATGAATTGGAGTTACTCGATCCAAGTTGTAGAGAATACTCATAAAACCAGTACAGTGAACATTTGGAGATTAATTTCAACGGCAAATTGAGGCCTGTTTATAAAAGAAAATTTCGAACGTGCTAATATGATAGGTCATCTTTGGGAAATCTCGCCCCCCCTGGTAGAGTAGATCTAACATGGGATGCAGGAATATCAATTTTTTCAAAAAGATGTTTTCTTGACAATTACCACAGAGACATGTAGCACTATGATATGAGATGAGCACTATGATAGGCCAGGCCCGTAGCCGGGATTTACCAAGGGGGGTTCAATTTTCAAAAATTTCCAGGGGGGTTCACATTTGACAATTTTGGCCCAAATTAGGCTGAAATCACTTGAGAAGTGCTCAAAATGGTCAAAAACTGCATGATTTTGAAAGAATTTTTGGCCAGGGGGGGATTCGCCCGAACCCTGCGAACCCCCCCTGGCTACGGGCCTGTAGGCCCTATAGTATAAGAAGTAATATAAAGCCCCATATCAGGCAGCCTTACTGAACACACCTGGCTCAAAAGCAGCTCGGTAGAGTAAAGGCAGCCCCATATCAGTCATCATAAGTTATCCCGTTCCCGGACTATGACTATAGTCCGGGAACGGGATAAATCATAAGGTGCTACAAGATCCTGTGACAATTTAGAATTACCTTGCCTTAGTTAGCTTTTACATAATGATTCTACTGTAATTGACCCCTTATTTATCATTTGGTAATTGCCACATCTAAAAGCAAAAAATAGTTCATCGAAACGATCATAAACAAGAAATAAAACAACTTGGATTAAAACTTTTCTCTTGACTTTTCTTACCTCCTTCTAAAAGAACTCCAACAGGGGAAAATACATCTAGAATATAAACCGCTATAGCGAACTCACCTGAACTCTGACTACTTTCAATGTTACTGCTCATTATAGGGAGGGGTTTACTCGGTTTTATCGTGTCTGTTTTAGTAACACATTCAATGCATTGTGTTGCAGCAATACTCTTGGTAGAAGCTGGTTGTACTCGTATAACATCTGTATTTGTGATTGTGTTCTGATTGCTTTTCAGTTCAGGACTGTGTGTCTTGAAAGAGGGTTGAGGATGAGCACTTACATCAATGGTGCTTGATATGTCATCTTGTGAACCTTTCATGCTTTTAACAGAAGTGGTTAACAAAGTGGATGGAAAAGAGATTAAGTCTGGTACAATTATTGATTGTGACAATTGTGATGACTTTGGTAATTGTGATGATTGTGCTGTGAACTCACTTGGTGCAGTCAAACCATCTGGTTCTGAAGAAATTGGCACAGTGTATGGCATTGTTGTAGTAGAAGTGATACGCTTGTTTAATTGTGGCTTATCCTGACTGTCAATCATAGTTGATTGTGGCAATATATGTGTCAGAGTTGATTGAGGTAAGCTCTCTGTAGCCAACATTGACTGTTGCAAACTATTTGTTGCTGTTGATTGTGGCAAATTATATGTCTTCACCGATTGTGGCAACAAAAGTGTTTTTGTCGAAAGTGGCAAATCATATATATTTGTTGACAGTTGAATATCATGTGTACCCATTGATTGTAGCATACTATATGTCTCTGTTGATTGCGGCAAATCATATGCACTCGTTAATCGTGGTAAATCATATGTATTTGTTGCATGTAAAGGTGGTGTCTTGGTTGAATGTGGAAATCCATGGGTATCTGTTGATTGTGCCAATCTATATGCGTTTGTTGATTGTGGCAAACCATGTGTCTCTTTTGATAGTTGAAATCCATGTGTCTCTTTTGATTGTGGCAATCCATGTGTCTCTGTTGATTGTGGCAATCCATGTGTCTCTGTTGATTGTGGCAATCTATGTGTTTCTGTTAATTGTGGCAATTCATGTGTCTCTGTTGATTGTGGCAATACATATGTCTCTGTTGATTGTGGCAATCCATGTGTCTCTGTTGATTGTGGCAATCTATGTGTTTCTGTTAATTGTGGCAATTCATGTGTCTCTGTTGATTGTGGCAATACATATGTCTCTGTTGATAGTGGTAAACCATGTGTTTCTTTTGGTTCTAGCAATCCATTTGTCTCTATTGATTGTGGTAATGCATGTGTCTCTATTGATTGTGGCAATACATGTGTCTTTGTGGATTGTGGCAATCCATGTGTCTCTTTTTGTTTTGGCAAATGACTTGCCTCTGTTGATTGAGGTAATTCATTTGTCTCTGTCCAATGTGACAATCCATTTGTCTCTGTTGATTGAGGTAATCCATTTGTCTCTGTTGATTGAGGTAATCCATTTGTCTCTTTTGATTGTGTAAATCCTTGTGTCTCCGTTGATAATGGTAAACCATGTGTCTTTGTTGATTCTAGCAATCTATTTGTCTCTATTAATTGAGGTAATCCATTTGTTTCTATCCAATGTGGCAATACCTTTGTCTCTGTTGGTTGTGGCAATCCACATGTCCCTATTGATTGCGACAAACCATGTGTCTCTTTTGATTTTGGCAAACGATTTGTCTCTGTCCAATGTGGCAATATGCGTGTCTCTTTTGATTGTGGCAAATCTTGTGTTTCTGTAAATTGTGGCAATTCAGGTGTATCTGTTGATTGTGGCAATCCACGTGTCTCTATTGATTGCGACAAACCATGTGTCTCTTTTGATTGCGACAAACCATGTGTCTCTTTTGATTGCGACAAACCATGTGTCTCTTTTGATTGAGGTAATTCATTTGTCTCTGTCCAATGCGACAATACATGTGTCTCTGTTGATTGTGGCAATCCATGTGTCTCTGTTGATTGTGGCAATCCATGTGTCTCTGTTGATTGTGGCAATCCTCGTGTTTCTGTTAATTGTGGCAATCCATGTATAGTTTGTTGCAAATAATATGAATGAGATATTTCACTTTCATGATCAAATGTGTTTGAAGATGGCTGATGGAATATTGCGGGTGTGAAAGGTGGAGGTATTGTCGGCATCAATGATGTTATACTTGGCTGAAGTGTTTCTTCTACGTTAAATGTTTTGCACAAAGCATCTGCAACTATTTTCATTATTGTAATGTTTCTCAGTTCAACTTCACCAGAGATAAGAACGCAGTTGTCTTGAATCAAAGGATATGTCATGGAACACATGTCGGAGAAAGCTCCACCCATGTATATCTGTATCAGGAAGAGTCCAAATTTAAATTCACTCTTCAATGTTGTAATCATTGAGGCTGCCTCAGTAAGAGAGACATCAGTGAAAAACCCGTCTGTAATAAAGATGGTTGTATCACGTACATTAATGCGGTTGCCATAGTCACCAGCACTTATTTCTATCAATTTTTGGTAAGTATTTGCAAAATTGGTTGATCCACCAATATGAGGTATTTTTGCAATCATGAGCATTAAATCAATCTTGTTTATATAGCTTTCAAATGATATATGAACTATAGGATCATCTGAGAGAGTCAAAACAGCAACTCTAACTGCTCCAGAGTCAATATCCATGTTCCAAACGAGGCCGTTCACAAAAGAGAGCATAAATCTGAATGTCATTGGATCGATGCTGCCAGAACAATCCAATGAGAAGATGATATCCTGAGGTACTTGTTTTACCGAATCAACACTATCTACAATAAAAAAGCAATACAACAAAATGTGTTTAAAGTGGACTGAAAAAATTGTATCATGATGGGTTTGACAACATGGCCAATCTTTGTGTCATTGGAATTATTTCAAGAGAGATTTACCTCTCAATAATAAGAATTGTAAAGGTAAACACATCAATTGAGAATGTTTGACAAACTTAAGACAGAGACTTTAAACCTTTAACATTTTATCATAGATCCGAGATTTTTACTGAATACTGTACTTATAGCTGTTGACCTAATATAAAAAATGTGTGCTCAAGAAATTCTAAGAAAGCTAAGATTGCTTTGTATTTTACTATGCTAAAAGAATAAAAACATAAGAGACATATGAATTGCTATACCATAGAGTATATGTACTGTATGTACCATAGATTATGTTTGGGATAACTTACTTATTTCCTGCCAAGTTTCATTTGTTATCATCAAAAGTATCAAAATAATTTGTTTCATTTCAGAATCATTGGCTGCAACATCTCCTTACAGCTCTCCTTACTGTTGCACTACTTTTCTGGCTCTATTTTTGTTTAATCAACCATGTTTCACTTTTCATATATATTCTCTATATTCATTTATATTTACTGGTATTTTCAGCCCAATGTGTCACTTTTGTAAAAAATAATTGCTTATTTTTCTTGTACATCATCATGTTATATCATATACATTTTGTTTGTTTGTTTGTTTGTCTGATTACTTATTGTTTATTGTGCTTTGAAACAATGTATAAGATTTTCCATGTGCATTATATATTACATATGTCCATATAAACTATATCCATTACTAAATGTTTCCATTCCATATAATATCTTGTTCATATAAACACCAAAGAATCAAGAAAGTAAATAGATTAACATTCAAAAGTTCCTATCGTTGACAATACAAACACGCGAAACTAGCATGAAATTGGTCAATTGTTCAAAGAGTAATACCTGTAAAAAATGTTGTGGTGGTCAAGATTTGAAATGGATAATAAAGGAAAATAGAATGAGCTCTGCATGGAATAAAGTAAACAGACAAAAAATACAGACTCTAAATTATACAGAAATGACAGTAGATAAGCCAGATCATTCAAATTTAAGAGAAAAAGCATGAAATATGCATGACTACCATAATCATTTCCTCACAGGCAAGTTATTGGACAAATAGATTTGTGATTTATCACAAAGGGAAGTATCAATTGTAAAAGTGTTAATCTGCAACAATGGATTAAGTTGAACCAAAATGGATTAAGGGATCAAACACAGATGTAGATTGTTCAGCCCAGTGTGTAAATGGTCAATCCTAATATTTCAACTCAAAATCAATATCAAAAATAAAGATTTTGTAATACCCGGCTCATTTTGCAATCCTTCAATAACCATGGAAACTTAGAGAGAAGGCAATGTAATAGTTGCTATGTTTTATGTAGTTAATTTGGTCCTTGAAATGTAACTGATGTATTTTGTCTAGTATAGTGCTGCTACCTGTTATGTCAAAAAAGTTCATGGCTGATTCTTATTATATTGATTAAGTATATATCATCTCTATTATCTCCCATGGTGTCATAGGTTGTGCAATATTTTCCAAGGACTTTCTGATTTTATTTTCTCAGGGTTTATATTTGTCTCTATGTAGAATGTACTTTAGTTGGTACTTAGTGTACATGTAGCTACACATAGGGATAAGAAGAAAGTGAGACGCCGCCCGCCACCCGTCTGTAAAGCTGACGACAATATCGTTCCTTTTTAGGTACAATAAAAACAAGAACATAACAATGAATTTTTCATCTAATCTTTATATTTCTAGGCTTATTCTCCAATGTAACATTTACCTCTGTGGCATTTCTATATTTAATTTATTCAATTTTGGGAATGTATTTGATATGATCATTTGTAATTCCCACCCTACTGCATTATACATGTTTATATACATAACCACTCACATATATATATGGACAAAGTTCTCATAATGACCATCCACCATTAACTGCCAATCTTAAATAGCATAGCTCCCTATGTTCTATATCATGTGAAAGCTTGTTCAATTGTAGTTATTGAAAGGACTATTCTAGGATTGACTTTGGAAGGGGGTGGTGTGATCATTATGAAATGCCATGCACATGTTTTAAATGTATATTATACATAACTCACATGCATGTATACATTACTCACATGCATATTATGTGCATTACTCACATTACTTACATATATATGTATATTACTCACATGTATGTGTCCATAACACACATACATATGTTCATTACTCACATACTTATGTACATAATTCACATGTTCATTTATGTACACAGGTTATGCATTTGTTGACACACTGACTCAATTATAATCAACCATATCCTCTAATGATAAAATAGAAAACAAACATAGATTTCATAAATATAAAATAAATATTGTTTATGCATCAACAAATACTGGCTAAAAGTGAAAGAATATAATTAAAAATGGTGCCAAACACAACTGGCTTTTGTTCTCCAACATTTCAAACACGTCACACAGCATTACAGTCTAAACAAAGCCAATTTGAATTGTGTCAATGTAATGAGGGTACAAAAAATAATGAGGTTAACATGGCTGTTGGCAACAGATGGCATTAATACAAAGATCAGTACTTTTTAAAGCAATTATCTGCTATGGGTTGAAATCAGCCAATGGCAACTAATCCTATGAACAATTGCTGTTTCTATGGTTACTGTATAAGTAACCCACTAAATATCAGGGGTAAATACCACTAAACATTCCCTAATGTAGATTCTAGATATAGTATTACTTTTATAGTTTTCTGATCATGATATAATTCCCATGGTAACAATGATCAACAAGAATATTTTGATGATCTGATAGCATTATAAAGTTTATTTTCTCTCAAAATATTTCTTAAGAGTTTAAGTGGTTTTTGTCTTTAGAGTACACATTGAACTGGAATTTTAGAAAATTCTATTATGTGCAGGATAGATTTAGTAATTGATCATATAATCATTCTCAAAACTTTAACGTTTCATTTTTCATTTCATTTTTCATGTCCATGTTAGCTTAATAATAATAATCATAAATACTGGTATATTTAGAGGTTATGTCACTATGACGTGAAATATGCCTGAGTTCTCCCAATATAGGCCGACCTTGGGAGGCTCTATATTTGGGCAAGAACGAAGGCATATTTCACGTCATAGTGACATAACTGATGTATTACATGCCTTTGTTCCCATGGTTACTTTGTATCAATGACGTGACATCATGATATTATCATGGTTATTAAAGAAATCTAATATCAAAACGAGGTAAGCGGGCTATATCGGGGTAATCGGGCAATATCGGTGGATATAGCTCGCTAACTTTCCCATTGACTTCCATACAAATGCTTCGCTAGGTATGTAATACAACCTTGTATACATTTACATTATTTTTCATTTCACATAGTCAGGCTGAGGCACACAGTCCAATGAAACGTTTTAGTTAAACTATAAAGACATTCCAATAAATTACGCATCTTGTTTTTTTAAATTTGATTTCAGTCATACAATATACATTGTATATCTTGAACTTACGCTAAAGACTGGAATTGCAATTTGGACTCAAAACATACAAATTCAAAGGACCAATCAGCCATTCCATTTGGGCAATGAATATTGAGTTCATTATTTAGATAAATTGACAAGAACTTGGCAGGAAGTGTTGAGTGTATTATACTCATATGTTATTCTTGTATTTCTGGTAAACAAGTTTGCAGTAAGGATAGATTTCCATAATAATTGGATGCTGTAAAGCTAGAGTTTTATGTATGTGTTCATACTGGCAATAAATCATCAAGGCAAATGTTAATTCATACACGCAATGTCACAGTGGCCATATTGTTAAAGTCAAAATAGGTGGAAAATAGTGGAACTGGCAAGGAATAAAGTCAACAGGCATGTGTTTATGCTCTTAATTGCATAGATATGCGACAAAATCAGTCATTTGGTTATTATGAATAAAAAAATGTTGTGCATGGCCATTGAAATATTTTAATCATTGGACCAGTTTCCTGTGCGAAGCCATTGGCTTTAAAGAGAAAGCCCATGACGAAACAGAGTGTGAATTGCAAAAACATTTTACCAATTTGTACAGGAATGAAAAAGATGAAAATTTGATGAAAAAAAGGTGACCAATGACGAACATGACCATCTGATATTTTTTACAAAGCTTCAAGAATGAAACGATATTTATTTGTACTTTTCCAGACAAAATAGTTAACATGTATACATGTATAGTAAACTATGTAAGTTGGCTACTAAAATAGGAGTTCTGTTGAATGGTGTTTTACATATGAGTGTCTTGTGTTGTTTCCGTACCATTTGAGCTATTCATATTGGGAGAACTACCATTTGACTTCACAATATAACTACTATGACTCGCTGGAACTATCACAGGTTTTTCTATGCTTTCTATATGACTATTTCGTATTGTAACATCATCAGCACTTCCTGAGAGTTTTGTATAGTCTACAGTGTCAATAGAAACTTTGGACTCCATTGATGAACCAGTGGAATTCCGTTTGCTCGTGTCTCTTACATCATAAGCCTTTTTCTTATAAACTGTTGCAATTTTATTAAGTTCTATTGTATCTACATGCTGTTTTGCCTCTTTTAGAACAACCACCACCCCTGTTGGATCTGCCGTGTCACCATTCACTTGAACTTGTGGACCATCCGATGAAAAACTCTTTGCCGACACATCAGAGTCTCGTTTTGTTAATTTTGTTTTATTGTCAGATTTTTTAAGGACAGATTTTAAGGGTCCTGATTTTTTAGACTTTACTGGTTCGGATTTTATGGCAGTAGTACCATCCTCCTCTGTGATTGCGTCATATTTTGGTGGTAGGTCACTTACATCTTCTTGGAGTGCGATATCATCTGCAAAAACAAACACATGATTTATATGATTTTTAGGGGTTTATGCTCTTAATGAATATCTAATACACCAAACTAAAGAAATAAACAGAAACCGATTTTGGATGTATTACAATGGTTTTATGATATGTTCTTTTGTAAAACATTAAACCAGCCAGAACCAACCTCAAAATAATGCAAGTATGAAATAGTTCTTTTAGTCGTGACCCAATTTGATATTAAATCAAAAATCAAATACGTATATATTTAATTGTTTTTTCCTCCACTTGCCTCAAACCCATACAAAAAGTACGGTATTCATATTTACTCACCAGGCAGTTTCTTTGCTCTGAAGGAAGCATTGGTGATAGCAGCTTTACTAACGCTAGTTGAAGAAGTAGATGGCGTGACTGCAATAGCCACACCCATTGGCCCATCCTCTGGCTGACCTGATGGGTTGAACTGAAGGGAATTCTTAACTGCATTTGTAATCTGTAAGTAAAAACAAAACTTATTTTTATTCAGGATTCAGATTTTTCACGCTGATTCCATTCCTCTCTGTTTAATCTCAATTCATGACCGCTATAAAATATTTCATGATTACTTTTTTTACAATTTTTCAGTTCCAGCCGATTAATTTGTTACATAAAATTATTGGATGAATAAATTATATTGTATATGCAAAACTAGAGACAGCTATAAACAAATTCTCTAACTAGAATTGACATAATTTTTCCAGGATCGACACAATGAATCTTCTTGTATCTCGCAAAATAGGCTGTCAGCTTAAGGGATTACATACCCTGTGAACATGCCATGTGGTCAGACATTAAATCTATATAGCTTTAAATATGCTTATTTTTGAGAATAACTCAATAGGAGACACATTTAAAAATGGAAATTAGAGTAGAAAGAGAGGAATTAACAATGAATAAATGAGTAAACAGGCTTAAAGTCAGCATGGTAAATTGTATAGAAATCTTAGAAAATTAGAAAATTCATTTGAGACAAAATTTGAATATGCATGATGTGAATGTTCTGGTAATCCTTACACCAATCAGGTTGCAAATCAATTATATCATCAATTTTATTTTTGTATCTGGGATAAGAAATCAGCTCAGTAAGAGGAAAAGAAACACAAAAAGAAAACATGGAAAAAGTTCTTAAACATACAGAAATGGCATTGAGTCAGACCAGAGGGAGTCACACTCAAAATACTCTAAAAGCCTAAAATATGTGATGTATTACTTCAGTTAATAAGTAAAACTCAGCTCCATATGTTCAAATATTGTCCGATTGCATTGTGAAATTTGCAAATTCTCTCAACAAATTAAATTGTATGAAAAGGTTACATTTACAGGTTAATGGATATAATACATTGTAAGTTACAAATAAGTCCTTTGAATCCTGGGCCATAATCATATCTGGTCATACCTGTTTCACATATATTTTCTCTCTAAAATTTGATTGAACTACATCATTCTCTTACATTTCTGTACAAATTAGAGTGGCACCTACATGCCTGCTCACTTTATTCCTTGCTGATTCAACTCTTTTCTTATCTGTTTTTCAATTTAAAACATGGCAACCGTGACATTTTTCTCATGAGTTCCGATCAATATCCAATTAAAGATGATTCTATGGAGATTATGTATTTTATTATACCACTCTAAGTCCGATTACAGTTGTATAACATGGGTCTATAACAACGATATACAGTGGAGAGTGGTATATCGTCATCGTATACAACTCCTCCGTATACACTCCAGCGTATACCACTGTAGAATCAAGTGATGTCATAAATGGTTCCGGCATGATTTGCTAGAATCAAGCCACGTCATAAATGGTTCGAGATCAACATCAGCATTATCGAGTTGGCTATGGGATATTTCTAGGGTTTTTAATTGTTATGATTGTGTTCGAATCAACTGTAATTGAACTTAGAGTGGCATAATAAGATTATATAATGGTTCATTCTGTATATCGTGCATTTTATACTCTCGTGAGAATATCATATATTCACTCGTTCGCTACGCTCACTTGTGAATATATCATATACTCACTCGAGTATAAACACGATATACAGAAAGAACCATTATATAACCTCATAATATACAATTCACTCCAACTCCAGCTTCATTAGTTTAGATCAGGATGTTAGAATGTATTTTAGGAGTTGAGTTCCAGCTATTGATTTTTGTAAATGCCACAGTAATTAAATGAATAAATTACATTTAATATGTAAAACTAGACAGCTAAAAACAAATTTACTAGCCAGGTTTGACATATTTCTCTCAGGACTGACACAAAAATCTTCTTGTATTTTACAAGGATTATCTTAAGTTGACAGATTTCTTGCTCTGTGTGATAGATTGTACAGGGGGTCTATTGTTACAATCAAAATACAGATACCTCAACCCAACCCCTGAAATTTTAATCATCAGGAAAGACAAATAAATATTGGGAAAGGCTTTGATATGAAAATATGCATATGTGACAGGCTGCAATTTATGGATCTCACCACATGTCCCATATGAATAAAGAAATGATGTGTGGCCAATGCTTCGTTCATTTTCCAGCTGTTCAGTTGGCAGGTAAAACAATAGCAACACACTACATTAATGCAGTACTAATTAACATCAACAATGGAACAGGCATTAAAGAAGCACTAAGTTCAATATCCATTCAAAAAACAATAAAGGATTAATTAGTAATTTACTTTCAATGGCCACAGCTTTAGCTCAAGATAGGTTCTGAATTGAATTTCATACTTCAAGCTTATTTTAAATGTAATGTTAATGAATGAAATAATTTTAGAAACAAAGACTTGGCCATGTGTTTGTATAGGAAAATATCAAGTTGAATGCATTGAGAATAAAATAGAGAATACATTACCAGTAGTACGTCACTGTAGAGTTCATAACTAGCTCTTTTATGTATATCTTCTAAGGCTGCTTTCCCTTTTCTCGTCTGACCATTGAACCTAAAATCACACATTAGAAACATTTATCACTGTAGTTTTGAAATACTTACTATTTTGTGTTTTCTAGTTATATCTCTTTTAAGTGTTGCCCCTTGTGTTTTTAAACATTTATGCTTCTATGTTAACATTGCCAGTCATCCTAGTTTTGATGATGGTTTGTCTTGAAACTGGATTTGTTTTGAAATTAATCATAAAGAGAAAAAGTGCACCCAACACTTAAAATTGTATAGAATGTCAGAAATTCAAGCAGTTCCTTTAAACTTTAATGAAAAAAGTGTGAAAAATACACATACTCCTGAGATTATTTTTTAAACTTACATTGCAAAATAGATCCCATTAAGCATCTCTAATAATAAGCCAGAGTTGAGTGAAATTCGAGGCGGTGATGGCTGGAACTGGACTTTGGACTGACGTCTTCCACTTGGAGACCCTGCGGAATGTGATGTCATAGATGGGGATGTTGTCATACCATCTATATTCTCGAACCCTGTGTTCACAAGCCTTGAATTGATAAAAAATTAATCTTACATTAAAAAAAGAATCTCAGACATCTAACAAGAATAGCAATTATCCCACTCTATCGAGCCTAATATTTTTATCTGCTCACACATCCATCACACACAGTAGAACATTGTAGCATGTAAGTAGTTAGCATAATATTTACATTCACTTCATTTCCCAGTTTAAGAAAGAATTCTCACCTTGAACAGTTTTTGCATAATGACTGGTGGCAGAAAGAGCTGAGGTTGACCACATCACTGTTGAATCTCTGGAGAATGTAGGTTAGCACCTGTAGCCTGAAATAATACATTTATTACCCATAATGCTCTGACATACGAAACATATATGGTACGTAAAAAATATATATGGTAGAACATTTGATTTTGTTAGGGAGGAATTTCTTCTCTCCCATCAAGACCAAGAACATTTTTCAGATATCGAATACCTTTCAGAATACAAGAACTACAAGACACATATATTTTGTTTCGCACAGAACTAATTTATGTCTCCTTGTAAAGTCCCTCTATGGATCAAATGAATAAACTCTTCAATCCATGACAAGTGACATTTTAAAACTTTAAGCCTAAAACAATTGGTTTAATTTCCTCGCAATGATAGCAGATGTAATTCATGACTTATCATTGTTGAACCTCAGTATGATATATGTCAGCAACATGAGCCTGAAACAACATTAATGACATATCAATACCCATAATGCAACACTATTTCTATAAAGCAGACACCAAATCCTAATAATAATACAAAATTCAACAGCAATATAAATGTACTCAATACTTGCAAGCTGAACAAATAATTGCTATCAGTTAAGTATTTTACCCATAATGCAATTAGCTATATTTGCAGACGGGCATCTATTCTCCAATACAAAATGGAGTTTGAAGGACACGGATAAAGATCAATGACTATGACATTCAAGTGTTTTCTCTCCAGGTAACACCCAGCACAGAAATCGATATTTCTATTAACCTCTGTAGAATGGGTTGAAAATATCAAAATTGAACATAGCATACTGATTAGAACAAGAGTATCGAGGTATCAAGGTTCTTTATGCAATACTCTATTCCATCAAAAAAATAAAATATTCCAGGCACATTTAATTAATGAAATGCTGTTTCCTCCAAAGTTTTGAAAAAAGTATCTGATTTTTCTATAACCAAGAATAAATGTCGCAAAATGAATTCATTGAAAACGTCCATTTTGTTTCATTCTAACCACTGAGAACATACTAAGTAAAATGTTATATCCATGGGCAATTACCTATTCAATCCAATATCTAGGGACTTCTGAAAAAACAATTGACCAAAAAAAAGAAATTCCGCATCGAGTTGCAATTTCAGACATTTCTTTTATTGTCTATGTCAGGGATGCTATTTCATTAATATTTGATTAAGAACTGTCTCATTTGAAGTATGCCTTGTCAGGTACCGCATATCTATTATTACATAAAGACATTAACGGATATCATGGTTGCCATTACTAAAAGGTTCAAGATCAGCAAGGACTAGAAAATCTATACACCATATTCTATAGAAATGTCCAAAAATTATTAACACTACTCAACGAGTGTTAATCAAGGCGAACAGGCAAAGAAGATTGAACTGGGAGAATTAGCAAAATGTCATGACATGATGAATTATCAGTGGCTTCCTGTAAATAGAAATTACACTTTCCAGATGAAAAAATGTGAAATGTCGGCAAATGTGTGAGTTTATGCACTTTCACTGTATATTTCATTCTGTGATGAATGAGCTGTTTTAAAGGAACAAAAATTCTTTCAAATTTTTGAATGGTAAACAATAATCTTTTTACAGTTCAATACCATATAATAATCTAAATGAAATAATAATAAACTTGAAATTGAACAGATAAAACAAGGTCATATGAAATTAAGTGCTGTAATATATTGTGAAAGTTGAGTGCCATACCTATTTTGTGCATTGATGCACTCCACCTGTGGGTTTGGGCCAATGGTGATGATCTGAGGCTCCCCATGTGCATACTGGGACAGAGATGTCTCTGTGAGGGACAGCTGTGAAAGTTGGGTAGGCTGAAAACAAAGGAGAATATTATTTCCCATAATGCAACAGAGCAGACGGTTTAACATATTGAACTAAAATAAAATAATAAATATCTTGTTTACAAATATAGTTTTAACTTAAAGATTCCGTAACATGATAGGTCCTTTTACAATGAATAAAATCATCAACTAATTTTCAGGTTATTAACTTCATTACAACAACAAGACACCAGTTAAATTGATGCAGCACATCAACTTATCTGACTTGCCCAGTTGACAGTAATACAGCAGAAAGATTCAGCCACTTAAACATGAACAAATAATTAATAACAAAGAGTCGATATCACAATTTGGCCACCAACTTGGCTGAACAGAATGCTTCAATAATATACTGTAATTATGGGCTATGTAGCTGCAGTTAGAGATACATATATTAACCATATATATTGTTCTACCAAGCATCAAGTACTGCTTCTAATTCCAGTAATTTGCCAACAACAATGAATATTGAAGAATAGCTAATTATTTACCAATTGGCACACAATACCCCTTCACATCTGTCAAATTTATTGATCACAGAAGTCTGCACTATTTTATCTGATTGTTTCAACTGATCAAATATCACAAGATACTTTAATTAAAGAGGGTCAACTTAAGGCGGACTTGAGTTGGTGGTCAGCTGTTATTATAACAAGGTTTCAAGGAAGAAGTTTTGATAATGCAAAGTATCAAAATGTACAAAAAGGTCAAGTAAATACTAATATTGCATTCTGGTTCTCACCACATCTCAATCATTTTATCATTGCAATCATTTATCACTACAATCATTTTATTTTATCATTTTATTTACAGCACAAATGTAATGCAGAAAAATGGCTGCCTGATTACACCCAATCATTCTTGCAGACATAGATTTAGGAGACATTGCAACCAAGCAGAAAGTATCGGAAAAAATAAATTTATTCAATAGTGAGACATCGTCAATTTAGCAAACTGACAAGCCTACAACAGATCCCCTTCAAGGGATTATATGCTGGCTGGATATCCCGTGAGAAAGTTCTACTAATATCATTCCACTCATTTCCCTCTAAAGAAATAAACTGCCCGATTTTCTTGCATATCTATACGATTTAGAGTGTCAACTAAATGCCTGTTTATTTTATTCCTTGCTGATTCCACTCTTTTCCACTCTATTTTGTGTTTTAAATCATGACCATGATGCAATTTTTCATACAGGAGTATATTGATCAATTCCCCATTAGAATAAATCACTTTATATATCTGATTTTCCAAGAAATATTATTGACCAATATGGACTTCTCAGATTTCAGCCATTATGTCATGGTCATACTTTAAGAGGATGTACATTTTATAAGAGAAATTCAATGAATGGTTGAGTTAAAGATTGTAAACGTCATAAAATATAATTATGATTCTTAGAGAAAAATGTAAAACTGGGAAATTTTCATGCAGATTTTGAAATGAAAAATATAATTAAACAGAGTGGAATATGTAAGGAATAAAGTAAACAGACATGCTATAGTCAACACTCTAAATTGTATAGACATTTCAGGATACCAGGTAGTTCATTCAGAATAAATGGGAAAATAGAACAATCAAACAATTAACAGTAGAAAATTTGGGAGTGAAATAACTAATTTTAAATTTGTATGATTACTGTATATACCTCATGGTAAAGTGATGGTTTAGCCAGGCTGGGAATTGTAAGTGTTTTCACTCTTGGAGTTCCATCTACATTGACCACCTCCTGCAAATACACAAATGAAACTCATTAATACACAAACATTACAAAAACAAAAAACATTAAAAAAAGATTATCATTAATTTTGCTAGTTTCTCCAATAAGTCTAATAACCTAAATTAAGCATCTGTATACAATAAAATAAAATAATATTTTGGATAAATATATGTGATATGGGATCTTTATCATACCAGCATAACTCGAGACAAAAGGAGAATATCAAGGTCAGATCACAAAATGCAAAATGGAGTGAAACCAGTATAATTAACAAGGAATAGAGTAAACTTAAATGTAGTAGACACACTAAATTGTACAGAAATCCCCAAAATACAGAAGTTTATTCAAATTCAAATTGAGAAAAAGTTCAATAAAGAGATAAGATTTTGACACAGGCAGACATTTTAAAGTAGATGCTGGGTAGGACAGGTGAAACAACAGCTAACAGCAGATGGATCTATAGATTCTACCTGTGTAGTCTCCCTTGCAGAATTAACATAAATTAACATAAATATCTAATTAACAACCTTCTATAAGTTTATTATTCTTTGTTGCGGAAAAAAAGATTCTGCATATTATTTGCAGAGATAAGGAAGAAGACTGAATAATATCTACAAATGAAAAAACGAATATATTTCCATATCTTAGATGTAATAATGTGTTTTAATGTGCTGTATATAATCAGATGTTTTTGGCCGAATGATAAACTTAAGAGCACTACCAATCAATGTCCCCACCAATATCTACAAAAATGATTTAGTGCTAATTTTTTCTGAGTGACAAGTTATCACCAAATTAGTGCAAAATTAATGCTTTATTCAAGTGCTAATTTAGCACCAAATTATAGGTAGAGTTTATGCACATTGAACTGAATCATCATATAATAGAAATTAAATACTCCTCTAGGACAAACACTTTTTATGACAGCCCCAGTGTCTCTATGTAAGTAACAATAACTTATATTCCCATCATTATGAGTAATGTTGATCAGTTATATATTCACATGGAGCTTGTACAAGCACTTGTCAAAGAAAAAATAGCAACAAAATATGAAGGTCGAAAGTAGAAAAACAAGATAATTGCATTACTCAGGTTGCTATATAAACAAATACACAATAAATGATAATGCGAATCCAGGGTATAAAGCGCTTGCTACATTAGCGACTTTCATTCTACATGCAACCAATAATTTATAGCAATTAGTCTTTGAATGACTGTTAACTGGCTTTCAATTTGGCTTCCTCAGATGCAAGTCTGATGAGAATGCAAAGTAAAAAGTATGACTAAGTAGGTTATTTCCAAGACATCAGTAAGAGAACAATGTATGTAGATTTAGAGAATTTAGATGCTGTTTTCATGTTTCTACACCTTATCCAGGCTATTTGCAAATCCTTAGATCAATTTAAATATAAATTGCGATGATTAAAATTAAGAAAAATCAGTAATTGATTTTAAATGTGACCTTAAAATATTTTCTTCTATACTACGGCATAGAGTCTGGTACTAGCTGCAATTAGCTCTCTTTTCAAGAAGAGAAATCAAACTTTTGGAAAAAGTATTTGTTGCATGGGTGGGGCATAATAGCTCAGTAAGTGTATGGGGACCTCATTCCTCATACTCCTGCTGGCATTCCCCAATGTTAGAGAGACAACACAGGGAGTGTATAAGAAAACAAAAATAATGCAAAAGGAGAGGAACAAGTTGGTAATAATGGAAATAGGCATGTTTTAACACCCATTAATTATGTAAAAATATTGAATAAGTATTTCATTCAAATATTACAAGGAAAAACGCGGAATGGTCATGATGACAGAGATATTTTAAGCACCGGCACTAATTAGGGGATATTGCCATTTTACCAAGAGCTCAGGTGTTTTCACAGCTAAGGTAATCTAGACTAAGTGCTTTCTATGATTTAGACAAAAGGTTTTGGTTATATATAGCTATGATATATTTCACTGTCTAACTATGGGTTTGCACACCATATATCAATGGAGTTCCGAGACATGTAGTTTTAGGGAGTCGGAAATGTATTGATTCAACTATAGGCATTAAAAAATGATACGATCTAGAAATTATTAAGCTATTGCAATGGTTACAAAATGTAACAATTTTTTACAGATGTCAACCAATGAGCACCAATATAAAACTCACATAATGGTCACCAAATTGGTAACAGTTATGTCACCGATTAATTTGAAATGTAAAATAAGGTGGAAAAGAATGGAATTGGCAAGGAAAAAATGAAAACAAGTATGATGTCAACATTCCCAATAATGTAATAAAAAAATGCCAGAAAATCAAGCAGTTCATTGAATTTCAGGGAAAATGTGTGAAATAAGCATATTTGTATATTTAATGTATTACAGCATATACTTCATAGAAGAATGTATGACTCCAGGTTAAGACTGATTTAATTTAACATAAAAGCCAAAAGTAAGCTGTTATTAGCTCAACTTAATGACCAATTCACTAATTGCACATTGTTACCCCTAATTACACCCACTTTAATTAATCCTTTCTATTGGATCAAACATTTTCATATTGGAAATAACTCTTATGGGGACAGGTGCATTTGCTGTATGTCTACATGGGCAGATGTCTCAATCGGTTCTTTTGTGTTCTGAATGACCCCAAATCTCTTGTTTAAACACCTTTCTTTGAACTGAAACATGAACTGGGGGTATTTCAGTACTATGCCCAAAATTTTGATGTGATGTGAATACAGTTTGAATGTGAGATGAACTATAAGGTCAACTGTAATAAAGCAGTTTGAGCAATATGTACAAAATAAATTTTGTTAAAATTGTATAAAATCTAAGATTTAATGATTCTGACTCTCCCCTCCTCGCAAGTCATTTTACCCCAGTGGCTCAGCCAGTTCAATCATCTCCTATTACACCATAAATACCATGAGCGTGTGTCTATTCAAACACCTCAAAAAGACTAAATCGGCATAAAATACAGTCTGCTTTGTGTCGATTCTGTTTTTTCTATTAAACCTTTTATCTTTTGTAATAACAAGCCCCAGCTGCTTCCTAGAGTGTGTGCATTGCTTATAATAATTTTCTGAACTTTTAATGTTTTTTGAAAGCCCCATAACATTTTCATTTGTTCATTTCCAACAGCCTGTGTGTATAACAAAGCCTATTACAACAGTAGAATGCAGACATCTGTTACTGGCTACCTCTGCAGATCTCAATTTCATGAATTATCACTCTTATAAGACTACCTTGTCATGCCAGCCCTCCCATGAAAAACAATCATCATTCCTTCCAATTTCTTTCTCTCTAAAATTTCATAATTCTAGGTTTCTATATATTTTAGAGTAAGAACGGCATGTTTGCTTTATTCCAGATGATCTACTCATTTCATCAACAATTTGCAAGACATATTACAAAGACATATCACTTACGTTTAGATCAATTTGAGATATGAAATAAATTTAAATGCAAAATGAATAAAAAATAAATGAAGGTTTTAGAAAATATTAGCAGCATCTGTATTCTTGCATTTATTTCCATGTATTCCATGTATTAGCAATAAATTTTCGTTTTTCTCTTCGCATATAAAACAAAAATCCAGAATAAATAAATATAAGTTATTCAACTTGAATAATTAGAATGTCATTACTTTGACACATTGTCTAATCAGATAAAATAGTATAATTTCATTTACACTATTATATATATATTTGAAACAGAGAAATTGTTATATTATTAAATTTTAGTACATATTATATGTATATTAGTAAAGCTGTGTTGTAATGTTGCAAATGTTGTGATTTTGTTGTTAGTTTCCCAACTACCCATCAGTGGTACAACTGCTGATATGATAAAATACTACCAGCAATTATCCACCAATGAACAGTCAGAATACAGTGTAATCCAGAAGAATTTCAGCATCCACCAATGTTAGAAAATCCGAAACATACAAAAATGACAGTTCTAGTTGTCAATTTGATGTTAGTTAGCTCCTCTATTGCATTAGCTCTTTTAAACACAAGTACATATTTTTGATGACAAACAACAGATTACTAATGTAAAAAATAAAAAAAGCTAAAAGCACCCGTCTATTACCTTTAAAGTATTTTTGATTCTCTTTGTTGTTAGCTAAAGCAAAATAATGTTCTATAACTAATCCATAGGCAGTATTAATATACCATAATGATTGCTTTGACACAAAACCAGACATTTTATATATCATCCTATGGTTGTGTCTTTCAACAAGAGCATGTCAGGTATCAGATAGTCAGGTATCTTAACCAGTGTCATCCCTAGCCAAGCTCAGCACATAATAATGTGTGATGACAGACCCCTAGTCTTACTCTGTCAAATGCTCAAGGGAATTCACACTTTATTGGATTCATTTACACCTGCTGGAGCTTCTTTGTTGTTTTCTTCTTTTGTCTCACATTCAGCGAAACTGCAATCAATCTGATAATAATGACTCTAACCATTAGCTTGATTCCTGGGGTCAACTGATTTAATTCCTTTAATAATTAATGACTTATGTAATTATCAGTTGGAAACTGCCTATATTCCTATGATGTAATATTATATATATTATATCTGTATATAGTCCATTAATGCCTAACATATTATATAAAATTCCCTGTTGGTTTAACTATATTATATTATTTCATGTGTAGGCCCTGTTATAATACTACTGGACTATCTAACTATGGGTCTAACTCAAGTTTTGCCAAATGGATTTATATTACAAGAGATAAACGGATGCTCTTGTTATAAAAGGAATGATAAATCAATATGACTCATTTTCTCATTAGTCATCCTTGGTAAATAGTGTCCAAAATAAACAAACCTTTTCTTTTTTGTCATATTCTTTTTCAGACTAACTATTCATCAATGTGTTTCATTACTTGAAATTTTTGCATTTTTAGTCATTTGATCTAAGTACTCAAGTATTAGCAATGACATTTGGAAACAATTCATCAGAAAAATAAATTCCGTTTTCAGATAATTTGGTCATTATGAGGATGTCTCTAT